CACGAAAGCTTCAAATCTAGATGCAATGTCACACTGACGCGTTAATTTGTTATTGGATTATGATGACAGTCCTTCAGCAATGTTTCCCAGGTCCAGTGTCTGGGCAGGCGTAGGGGACATTCAGAGTGCAGCCGGCGTGTCCCATTTAAGCCACCGATTGCTCTCAACTGGCTGTCGCATCCATTACCCGACTCGTCTGATAGCAAGAACATTTGAATCTTTTATTAGAATATTGATTAATTCTGGAGAAATCCGATGAACTATGAAGCTCTTTTTCACAAGTTTATTTGGGGGGGGGGCAGAAAATGAAAAGTATCGCCTCGATTTCCAATGTGTGCCGCTGGACGGGATGTCACGGGCGAAGCTTGGCGGAACTATCGGCATCATCAGGCGCGTCGTGCTGTGCACGGCTGTGGGGGGGGTCCGCTTTTAATGGTGCCCGTGTAATAGTTTACAAAACAAGTTGATAACAGTTGTCAGTCGATCAATTGATTTAACCGTCTCACCCCTAGATCAGTTTCAGATTTAGGGGCTAAACCCCGGGAGCCCTAACCCAAGTTTAGCTTCGGGTTGGGTCAAGAGAATGCCATGGATTTAGAAACGAGTTCATATTTTCTATACACATTAACAATGCGTTTGTAAAGGTGTTTTGCTATGCAGGTATTGTACCGATCCTTGTGGCGATGTGAAATTTACATCACCATCTGAAAGCCTTCAACGTACGAGCGCTTGCTTGGCGGCCACCTCTGTTTTTGTTTGGTTCCATAACTTTTTATTGCAATTAACCGGAATGACAAGTGATTAACCGGTGTGTACTGCCCCGCTGTGACGTGTGGATTAGAACGTTGGAAATTGATGAAAACATTAAACAGAAACCCTGAAAATTCTGCATAAGAAACGTGGAATTACAATCGAGACGCAGAAAGGGGAACGCGGTAGAGAGTGGTGACGTGGCTATCGCCACCCTCTGCTGCACAGGACCCTCCTGAACAAGAGTCGTGAGACTCAATGAGGCTTTACTGGGTCAATGAGTGGAACGGGGAGAACTTACAAACTCAACACGTAGACTTTCGCCACCAATGCCCATAATAAAGGTTTTTCTTATGGATGATATTTTGGGTTAGATTGTGTAAATATATTATTAAATCCACCACCACCCGACACAGCCAATTAGTAAGGTTTGTGACGCAAACAATGTGCTTATTAATTACTACTTCAGCACAACGGTGTGTTAGAGAGTGAATTCACAACATTTACAATTCGAGTACAACGTTTCAGCAAAACAAACAGTTTCATCGTCTGATGAAGCTGATTGTAACGTGATCTAACCCCAAAAAAACCTTTGATATGAACTTGGAAACTTACCACAGAAAGGTGCCCAAGTCGGGAGTCGAACCCAGGCCCGCGCTGTGAAGCACAATCGTTACCACTGCGTCACCCTGCCTCCCACACATCTCCAGTTTTTAATGGCTCAAATGCTTTTTTTACCATTTCGAAAATAAAAGTTGTTGATTGTCAAGTTAGAGCTATTGCATCTGACATTGCATCCACTTGTTTTGAGTGTGCACCTGTAGCATCCCTTGTGTCAATCCACAGCTGGATAAGGGCCTCATGCCGTGTGGATTGTCTTCATAATTTGAACATACTTCACCAAGCTGGGTGAAGTAAGGATGCTCGTAGTAACTACATGCTACACTACAACAGACGATTTTTGATACACACCGCCCTCAATTGACAACGGAGCAGCACCGCAGCAGCAGGACTGGGTCTGGCTTAGCTTAAGAGAGCCGACGACATTGGTGGCATTGCAGCTGCTTTGGTTTTAAGTTATCGGTTTGTGTTTTTGCATCGCAGCTCGCGCTGCCGAGCACTTAACTCGTGTATTTCCGCAGAAGTGTCCCATTATTTTCAGGTTATGCCCAGAAGGAAGTAAGTGGTGTGGCGCAGGAAGTGAGTGGTGTGCGTGGGAGAGTGACGGCAAGCGCACCAGTTGTAGGCTGGTGATCGTAGGGTAGGCAGATGTGGAGTTGAGCTGCGTTCCAACAGTCGGTGATAAGAGCAGCTGGGGTTAGAATAGAGGTTGTTGCCTCGGTCTGGTTGGGTGATGTTGCGAGGGCTAGTGTGGCTTGGGGTTCAGTCAGGGTCTGGTCAAATAGTGTTGCTTGGGATAGTGCTAGGGTCGGTTAGCGCATGTGGCTACGGATAGTGCTGGGGTCTGGTTGGATGGTGTGGCAAGGGGTCGTGGAAAGGTGTGCTTGGATAGTGTCACTTGGGGTACTGCTCGGGTTTAGCTAGTGAGGCTAAAAGAGTTTGATGTTGCTAGGGATACAGGCATCCCCCACACCTACGACCTAATTGGTTCCTGGATGACGGTCGCAAATGGAGCCGTCGTCAGTCGAATCCTTATTTCCCATAGGCACAATGTTTCCATTTTGGTTCCGTTCCTGGAAACCCATTACCTAACATAAAAATAGCAAAATTGACCACGAAAATAAATGAAATAACCCTAACAAAATTTTTGTAACTTAACATTACTTTTATAAACATGTATTAAATAAAAACAGACACATTTGAAAATCCTTAAGTACTGTTCTGTATGTGACTCATATTTCCTCCTCTAAGACAGGAAAAGGCGAACATTTTTTTTATTTGAATAAAATGTTGTAAAAAGTGATGAGCGTTGCAAAAGAGACGCTGCGTTCGCTGGAGGTGCAGCTGCAGACCGAGAGGCTCCACTGTACATAGCCGTAGAGCTGAAAAGCAAAGCGGCGCCAATCGTCGGTAGCAGTCGTTAGGCGGTCATTTATACGAGTTTTGTGGGGGTCTTACTATAAGAAAGCTCATAAAAGTGGTGGGGGGGGGGGGGGGTGCAAGTCGAGCCGTCGTTAGTCGGGGGTCACCTGTAATGCTCTGGTATTGGCTCGTGTAATGAGGGTTAAGGTTATGGCCTGGGTCTGATTAGCCGGTGTAGGTCGAGTTAGGGGAAAGGCGAGGATTTGGCTAGCTGGTGTAGCTAAGGTTATGTGTAGTGTTAGACTAATTAGCTCGTGTGGATAAAGTTGTGGGTAGTGTTAGACTGATTAGCTCGTGTGGATAAAGTTGTGGGTGGTGCTAGATTGATTAGCTCGTGTGGATAAAGTTGTGGGTGGTGCTCGACTGATTAGCTCGTGTAAATAAGGTTAGGGGTAGTGCTTGGCTGGTGTGGGAGGCTTCGGGCGAGGGCTGTTGTATTGAGGCACAGGGAAAACGTCGTCGTTTCCCACCCCCGGCCTCTCCGTCATCGTTACTCATGAGCTGGCGGTCTCCGCTCTCCCTGCAGATGGCGCCCAAGAGGAAGGCCGGTGGCCTGCACAAGCTGCCCGAGCTGCTGGCGCCCGGCGAAGTGCTCTCCGACGTCGTCAAGAAGGAGTGGAAGCTGGGCCGAGCCGTGGGCGAGGGTGGATTCGGCCGTCTCTACCTCGGTATGGTGGGGCAAATAGGGGGGGTGAGGGGGACAACCGGAGGGGCGAGTTGGGGGGTACAACCGGAGGGACGAGTAGTTGGGGGTGGGGTAACTGGAGGGGCTAGTGGGGGTGGGGTAACCGGAGGGGCTAGTGGGGGTGGGGTAACCGAAGGGGTATGTGGGGGGGAACAACCGGAAAGGTGAGTGGGGGGGCAACTAGGGGGCTAGTGGGGGGGACAGACGGGCTAGTGGGGGGGTGAATCGTTACATCGCTACTTGGTGCCAGTGTGAGCTGTCCGGCTAACTGCGCTCGGCGTGTTTGATGACGGACGTGTCGATCTTGCGTTGTTGTCATTTGTTGATTTTGTTTTAGCCGCCCAGAACACCTCCCAGCCGGTCGGAGAGGATGCCGACTATGTGATTAAAGTGGTGAGATAAACCGTGTATACTTATTCGTGCGTCCGCATCCACCCTGTGCTCGGCCACCGCCGTTGCAGGCCACGGCATGTCCCCCCTTCTCTGCTTATTCCATCGCACTGTACCTATGTAGAACTTCTTTCACACCGTACGTAGCCAACCGTGCTTATTGGAGGTGTGGAAGGACCACAAACTAAACACAAAAAGCAGTTCTGGAGAAATGTGTTTTCAACCTCGATCATTTAAGTGAACAGCTCCAGTAGCTTCCTAATATCGGAAGGAAGAGCGTTCCAGACGGCCGCAGAAGTGGATCTGAAAGCTCGCGATGGGGTAACCGTCTGCTCCACTTGGAATTGTATTCCCCTCTTTGCATCTTTTCCTCTTGTTATGACGGTAGTGATGATAAGCACCTTGCTCAATTACACCGCTTAGCGATTATAACTTATAGTACTGGGCCCGTGGACCTGTGCTCGGCAACTGATTATAAACTAAACAAACACTCATTCATACCACACACATCAGGGTTACGCGTGTATATACATGCTTACACGTATGTATATGTGCTCGGGATGACGTTAAGAAAAATGTTAGATGTTTATGTTGCGTAATTTACATGATATGTGACGTCAACTTAACACCTCTTCATGGTACCCAATGCCACGCGATGCCCTTTTTGGTGGGGAAAACGTGGAAGTGACATCGTCATGAGTAACAGAATGTGACGTCATCATATGTATGTATGTTGAACTTCTTTCGCACCGTACGTAGCGAACCGTGGTAATCGGAGGTGGGGGGGGGGGAAGGACAATAAACTAAATACAACAAGCAGTTCTAAAGAAATAAATATCAAATCGATCTGAAACATTTTGTATACAAGATCGATTTTCAGATTTATGAGCACCCACCCCATTGTGTGGCGTGTCGGCCTTTATCGGTGCTCGCTAACGGCACTTGCCCCAACAGTCTGTTCAGACTATACGGGGGATCTTCAGCGTTGTTTGGAAGGCCCCGGCATAACATCATGATTAATAAAATATCACTTTTGCCATCGTCCACACAGGAGCCTCATGAGAACGGGCCCCTCTTCACGGAGCTCAAGTTTTACCAAAGAGCAGCGAAACCCGAGCTCAGTGAGTATTGCCGAGCTGTCACAAGCCACCGCCGGTGCCTCGTGTTCGCAGAAGCACTCGCTAGGCCGTGCAGCCACTCAAATCGATGCAACATCAACTTCCATCGCTCACACCGCTATCGTCAACAACAACAGATGCCATTCGCCACTGAGTTGTAGTGACGCCACTACGGCACTTGTGTGAATCACGCCAGGTGCACTCCGAGGCCACGTGAATTGTTGAAGGCTAGCCGGCAGGAAGTCACGGGACCGACCCAGGTGCCATGGGTTGACTTACAGATGATCGGCAGGTGCACTACCTGTGCCCCCTACTTTACCAACTTCCTGGATTTTAGCTGCCTGGCACTCCGTTGTTGTGAGCCCTCCACTGTTGTTGGAGGGCGACTGCCTCCAATTATCCAGTAGCATCCTCAACGGTCCTCCATAACGTCATCACCACCACCACAACGTGACTACATCACCAGCACTACCACTCTACCACCGTATCATCATGCAGCTTCAGTCTACCACTACCAGCAACGCTAATACCGTTGGACAGCCGCGTAGCTCACTTATGCCTGACGGTGGGAAGCAAGCGCCTGGGTTCGATTCCAGACACGGGCGCATTTCCGCGCCAATAAACCGGGGCGGCCTGCAGGGTTCGAGCCGTGAGCCTCTGCAACAACAAGTGGCGAATGCGCGACCGGCCGGACCGTGTCGCCCGCCCTAGAAGGTGCCGCTAGACCGTTCTATAAAACCATTGCCGCTATCATTTGTGTGCTCCTCGCTCACTCCCCTACCTTTATTTTTCCGTTTCTGTTGCACCCTGCCCCCCTTCATTCTGCAGTTGAAAAGTGGGTGAAGGAGAAACGTTTGAAATTTCTTGGAGTTCCACGCTACTGGGGCATGGGGATGCTGGAGAAGAAGGGCAGCGCGTGAGTTGTGATGTCTGACGCTTCGGATAAGATTATTATTATTTCTATTGTTTTGGTGGTTTAGCCAGGACAACTTCACTGAGTTTCGAGACTGATTTTCAGGAGGGTGACGACAGTTATTTTTGCTCTGATTTCTATTTTCTTCATTGCTATACTTTTTGTTTTTACTTTTGTAATTTTTACTGACCCAGGTGGTCACTCTTGCAAATTAGACTCATCCTGGTCTCATGAGTTCCCCTCGACACGGTTCTTATCTTATTTTATATTTACACAAAGCGACTTCACTGAAGGCGCTTAACATAGTAAAGACAGTAGATCGTGCAAGGGTTACTAAATTAAAACCATTTTTAAATCATTTATATTTAGTTCGCATGCTTGTATGCTTGCGTGCTTGCGTGCTTGCGTGCTTGCTTGCTTAGGACCGTGCAAATCTTTCGGTCGTTTTTTAACCCACTTCCCGTGATCCAATCGAGCTAACATTTTCCACACAGACTCGTTGTGCCAGACAATTAATGTTCGTGAAAAAAAATTCCCAAAATTTTACACTTTTTAGGCAAAAAAAATTTATTTTACATATATTCAAATAGAACTCATTCTTGGCTTTGGCTGAACGTCACAGTGTAAGAGCGCAGAGCGTAACCCCTCCACAGGCCGTGGCGGAGTAGCGCAGTTGGTAGTGCCCTCGCTTCCCATGCCAAAGGTCGCGGGATCGATCCCCGCGTCCTCCACAGGCGAATATATTTTTAAATCCTTTATATTAAGTTCGCTGCCACGCATATAAAGGATTTATAGTGAAAAACTTTGTTTTTACGGGTTATACTTATTATTTAACCAGGCAAGGCCCACTGAGCTATATGGGTCTTTTACAGAAAGCGACCTGGCCACAAATGGTAGCTCACCGAATTGTCTTAAGTGCAAATTTACAGCAACCAAATACTCTAAAAGCATGTTGATTTTAAATATGGAGGGAAAAAACCGAAGGACCCTGAGAAAAATCCACACGACGATGGGGAGATGAACACGCAAACTCCAAATATACAGCAGGCGTCAGGGTCGGGATCGAACCCACAACCGCCGGTATACCTGGAGAGGTCGGTAACATCTCGCCATCGCAGCGCCGCGCGGTTGAATAATGGGTGGCCTTAATAGAGGGTTACTTAGGAGGGGGTCACGGTTAAGCGAAGCACACTTGATACTTGACCTGATGTTGCCAATGTCTCTTTTATATGCACTTTGACAGAATGCGCTTCATGGTGATTGACCGTTTCGGGAGCGATCTTCAGAAGGTACTGGAAGAGAACGGCAAGAAGATTCCTCGGAAAGCGGTCCTGCAGCTCGGTCTGAAGCTGGTACGCACCTTCACATGCCTCACTGCTGCTGCCACTGCCATTTGTTAACGCTTTCCAGCAAAGTATGAAAGTGTTAAAGTGCATAAGCTCTGTCTCGTTGTCTAGCCAAATGTATTTTTGACTGTCCGTCTGTCCATCTGTTTATCCATCCAAAGGCGGTGGTCACCTCATCGCGTGGCGCTTTCAGATGCACTTCTGCGGCCGTCTAGAACGCCCTTCCTTCTGATATTAGGAAGTCACTGGAGCTTTGCACTTTTAAATAATCTAGATTGAGAACGGATTTCTTTACAACTGCGTTTAGCTTGTTGTCCTTGCCACGCACCTACGATTAGCACGGTTGCACACGTACGGTGTGAAAGAAGTTCAACATGCATACATCCATCTGCCCAACTGTCTTTTTGACTCCATTCGTCTGTCAATCTATCATGGGGTGTCTCAAAACGAGATGCGTTTTCTCCAGATATTTTGGTTTCTTCCAAAGGCGCGCAGCCTCCATCTCGTGCCAAACGATCAAATGTATACAATCTCTATCATCGATGCATTGAGTAGTTTGCCTCCTGTGCTAGTTTGACACTATAAAGGCCTCCTTAATTGTATTATTATTTAGCTTGTTTTCTCAGGAAAGCCTCACTGAGACCCAAGACCCTATTCTGGAAGGGTTCTGCCAAGTTTTTGTAGTCGGGGTGTGATGCTACTGCGTGAAATCCCAATTGAGCAATTTTTAAGGTAATTTCTCAGCATTCGGATGTTTGGCCAATATCAGTCACCTTCTATATACAGTCTCTAGTCCTATAACGCTGTAGTCGTAGCGTTTCTGAACAACATAACGTTATGGAAAAATCGAGTTATAATATAGGGGGTAAAGCACATTTCTGCGATAACACGTGAGATGCGTACGCAGGTCAGACAAAGACGGAGGCGCGTGGGTAGCATCTAGTAGCATCCAGCAGCATCCCACTGCCTCGTGCAACGCTACGCCGAGGCCGTCGTACGACCGCTTAATTATTCCTACTCGTGCGACGTAGTTCCGGTCGCTCAATCGCGTTATATCCAATTCACATTCGCGTTATAAAAAATGTGCTCCCTCATGCGTTCGTCGCATTATTCCCAATTCGCGTCGTGAAAACATGCATGCATATAGAGCAGGACACCTCTTGAAAGTGAGTCATGAGGCCCGGTGATGCTGTGCTGGCTAAACGAGTGATGTTGTTTATCACAGCTTGACATCCTTGAGTACATCCACGACAATGAGTACGTGCACGCGGACGTCAAGGCGGCCAACCTCATGCTCGGCTTCAAGGATAAAAACCAGGTGCCCGACTGTGTGCATGTCTCTCTGTCTCTTGTGTCACTCCTCCACTGTCACTCTGTGTGTCTGCGTGTCTCTCTCTTCCACTGTGTCTCTGTCTCTCTGTGTCTGCGTGTCTCTCTTTGTGTCTCTGTCTCCAGCTCTGTCTCTGTATCTGTCTGTATCTATGTGTCTCAGTGTGTCTGTTTTGGTCTCTGACGCTTTGTTTTTTTTGTATAGTCTCTGTGTTTCTCTTGGTCTCACTATGTCTGTCCCACCATGGTTCTCTATCACTGTATCTCTGTGTGTCTTTCTGTTTTGCTGTCTCTGGGTTCTGCAACTTTTTCACAGTCTGGGACAATGTTAGCGATGTGTTTCCCAATAAAGTAATTTGCGGTGTAATCTTTCAAAATCGCAAAATGTAGACTGTGCCACTGGGACAGTTGACCTAATCTTCTTTAAGCGACATCATGGAATCCTTCACGTCCACCGTGAATCGCTATTTTACGGTTTAAGTACAACCCAAAGTTATTAACTAGGGCGGCCTGCTGTATTTGAGTGGTGAACCTCCGCGTCAATCTGCGAACGCGGCGCTACCGCCGGAGCCCCCTGTGTCTGGACGTGTTTATATTCACCTCCTCAAAGTGCACCTGCCTGGCACGGGCGCCACGGTGACGTCACCACGACTTCGTGGCTCATGTGTGGAGCGGTAGTGTAGCGGTGAGAGCGCTGCGCTACAAACCTAGCTACCCCTGTTCGATTTCCGCTCACAGCCAACACCAGTGACGAATTTTTGAACCGGTCCTGTGCCTCCCCTAGGTTGACTCGGCCTAAATTGATTACTTGGTGCGTCGCCACTCAGGAGACAAAGGCAGCCGAGCGTGGCGCTGGCCACCCACCCCCTCGTGTGCCTTTCCGGCCTTCATAGGTGCTAACAGCACTTGCCCCAACAGTCTGTTATGGCTATATGGGGGGTTTAAAGGATATCGACTCAGTACCAAAATGACAGACTTGTTTACCTTTGGACTTAGGTTAGCCTGGTGGACTATGGCCTGGCGTACCGCTACGGCCCCTGTGGGGTTCACAACAAGTACAAGGAAGACCCCAAGCGCTGCCACGACGGGACGATTGAGTTCACCAGCATTGATGCGCACAAGGGAGTAGGTGCGTATGTGCCCCACGGTCAGATCGCCCAGGAACGCACCCGATCTCGACAGGTCTCCGGGTAGTAGATGGACTGATGACCACCATGCATGACACGGGTGTGTTATAGGCTGTCGGGGATAGGTGGTGAGTGCGACAAAGGGGAAGTGAGGGGGAATATCCATTCCTGTACTGTACTTCTGCTCTCCCGCGCCTTCACGGGTGTGGGGAGACCCTCATCCAACAGTGGATTCACAATAGGGTGGTGGCTGCACACGTCACGTTTATGGCAATGGAGTTAATGGGACGGAACGTGAAAAGCAGACGATACAAATGAGACAGGCAGTTGACAAATGCAACTGTCGATGCTAAGGTTTCACACGGTAAGCAATATCCTAACCTATAATCACATTAGACAACCAGACCCCAACCACGCTAGCCCTGCCTCTACCCTAACCATAACCACACTGGACACGCCCAAACACTAGCCGACCTCTACCCCAGCTTCTACAAAGACACTAGCCACCAAGGCGCTAACCCTGCCTCTAACCATAACTACACTAGCCACCACCCAGATGCCAGCCGCCCTCTACCCCTCACTGTAACCAACCTGGCAAGCCAAGACGCCTTGCCCCTGCCTGTATCCCTCACCAGGCTAACCACCCAGACGCTAGCCCCGGCCTCTACCCCTCACCCTAACCACGCGAGCCGTGTCCCCGTGCGTGCAGCCCCGTCGCGCCGCGCTGACGTGCAGATCCTGGGCTACTGCCTGCTGCAGTGGCTGTGCGGAAAACTGCCCTGGGAGGACAACCTCAAGGATCCCAACTACGTGCGCGACGCCAAGATCAGGTGACGCCCTGCTACCACACAAATCCAATAACAACAATAACAACACTCGGGTCATTGTCTTCGTGACTTATTGTGCACCGGATTGCCGGATTATAATATCATTATTTAAAATAGCTTATTTTTGCACATTCTTGAATAAGATGTTTGAGGTGTTGTGTCTTACGTTTTTTGGTTTTTAATTTGTTTACAATATGAAATTGGCATAAATAAACATACAAAAGTATAATATCCTCTTGTAATAAGTTACTGTATTTACTGTATTGTACTTACCACTCCAATCTCGAAGACTCTGCATGGGGTGATGACAGGGGGTGTAGAATTGGAGGTGGTTATTCAGTCGGAATCCAACTTCATCAGTTGTGATAGAGATTTGTCAGATTGGCCTGGGACCGCCGGATAATGTTGGACCCCAGATAATCGATGATCTACTGTATTGCCTATTATTCTATCGCTGGTCTAAGAGGGATTTAGGTCCGTTGTCGTGGTGAGGTTGCACCACTCGTGCCCCCTACCACTACCCCGTAGCAGCCACAATCCTTTGTCTGGCGGGGTGAAGGGGCGGTGCCTAAAGAAGTGGGTGGGGCTTAAAAAGGAAAGGCGCGGAGATGGAGGAGGAGGAGGAGGAGGCAATGGGGACCTCGTCAGGAAGGGATGGGGCCTACGGAGTCGGGGGGCGAGATCTGAAGAGAAAGGGCGGGGCCTGCAGAGGTTGGACTTCCCTGTTGATTTAAGGCCATAGAAGCAGAGACTCAAATAACGGGCAGCAGCATAGCTATGGTGCTGCAGCTGCGGCCACAGCCACGCTGAGTCTCGGGACTAATTTATTCGGGAGGTTCCTGACAAGTTTTTTTGCTGCTGCTGGGCCATGTCAACACCCCACACGGCTGTTGCTGGATACCGTGTGTGAGTCTCGCGCTGTCTGCCTCACTCGTAGGTTCAAGGACAATATTCCTGAGCTCATGAACAAGTGTTTCCCCCCATCGCAGGAGAAGCCAGGTGCGTGCGTGTGCGCTTTACACAGAGCTGTCCTCTGCATCGGTGTGCTTTGATGCGTCGTGTTGTGCCATTAAATGTGTTGGTACTTGTTGGTGTGTGTGTTGTTCCCGTGTTGTGGTGTGTTTACGTGTTGTGGTGTGTTCACGCGTTGTAGTTTGTGGTGTGCGTTTGTGTGTGTTTGAGTCTTTGTGTGTGTTACGGTGTGTTGTGGTGTTTCCTTGTGTTTGCTGGGGTGTCAAGCTGTGTCTTTGTGCGTTCATTGGTGTGTGTGTGTGTTAGACTGGTTTTGTGTGTGTGTGTGTGTCGGCGCTCCGTGGCGTTCGTCGCCCCGCGTTGGGAGTGCGCCGTGGCGTTTTTGGCGTCGGTTCACCGCTCCCACGCGGTGCTGTGTCCCCACCTCCGCTCTGACCCCACTCCCATACCGGACATCTGTGAGCTTTGTTACAGCCCATTGGATTCCTCCGGCAAAGATGGATATTCTGATGATTATTCACTCCCGCAGCCGAGATTGCCGAGTACATGGCGTACGCCCACGCCATTGGCTACGAGGACCGGCCCGACTACCAGAAACTCCGCACCATCCTCACCAGGGGCCTGCGGGCCATCGGGGGCAAGGAGGACGACCAGCTGACCTTCCGCTTCGGTCCCGCGCGCACCGACAGGCCCGCGGCCACTTCCGCCAAGCAGGTTCGCTCATTTGAGCCATTCATTTGTTCGTCCGTGCATTTGTTAAGGTGTCTGTTTTTTAAGTGATCTCTAGTCGTACTGGAAGTGCAGCAGACCCCAGTGGGTGGCTTTATTTCATGGTCAGACCCATTGCGCTATGAAGCTCTTTCTTTTTCAATGGGGACGGCGGCAAGCGAGTTGCATGGGGAGGGAGGGTTTACAGGAGCTGCATGGAACAAGCGCACGATTAATACACAAACAATAAACACCCAGAACTATGTGCAAAAGAAATGTAATGAGCAATCTATTTTAACCTTTTTTTAAAAATAACTTGAACAAAAATTTGTTGAGTCTTGCCACCAGCCGTTGGATCGAAGTGCCCGGTCCTCTCCGGTAAGCGCCTAACAGCGGCACGACTTTACGTGAAGTTGAGTTCGTGGATCGTCATTACGAGTGTTGCCGTGACCCCGCCCCCTCCACCGCTATAGACAGACAGACTTGCAGAGCTCACGTGTTCAAGCGCTCGACCTTAGTGGGAAAGCATTACGAAAGATAAAGGGGGAAAGAGATGCACTTGAAAAAGGGGGGCTCGAGGGGGAAAGGGGGGAGGGAGTAATGGGGGCACACTGACTGCCGGGCCCGAACCGTCGACCTGTGCGACAAACTGCGCTACTGCTTGGCCACTATCGTCGCTCGGCTCTTGTACGTACGCAAGTATGTTGAACTTCTTTCGCACAATACATAGCCAACCGTGCTAATGGGAGTGCAGGGGAAGGATAACAAACTAAACACACAAGCAGTTTGAGAGAAATTCGTTTTGAATCTCGATTTAAAAGTGCATCGTTCCAGCGGCTATCTCATATGAGAAGGAAGAGCGTTCCAGATGCCCGCAGAAGCGCACTTAAAAGCACGAGATGACTGGAGTTCACGTGATGGTTTATGCTCCTTGACGAGATCGGCAGGCTGTTGTGATTCATTTGTGGCAAGCACTTTGCGTGGAATGAGCACGACCTTAAAAGTTATTAACGACTCGTCGCCGTCGTGGTGGTGGTGGGGTGTGACTCATTGCAGCGTTCGGCCGGGACCGCATCTGCCCGGAGGAAGCAGCAGCAGGAGGACGGGGCGGGCGAGGTGGTGGTGGAGCCGTTGAGTAAGAAACGGCAACGGTCGCCCGCAACTACTCCCTCCTCCCAGGCGGCCGCCGCCGCAGCCGCCAACGGTCGCGGCAGAGCGCGGCCGCCCGTGTCCTATGCCGAGCTCGACGAGAGCATGGAGGAGGACGAGGAGGAGGATGAGATCCGTCTGCTCAAGTCGAAGGCTTCGTCCACGCGCGCGAGGAAAGGTGAGCGGCGGGCAGAGTTGCGGGGGTGTCATCGTGATGGTGGGGGCGGTGGTGGTGGTGAGTGGTAGGGAGGAGTTGGCACAGTGGGCACAGCTGGTCCATCTTCTGGTCATATTAGTCAGTGGCACCATCTGGGTCTGTCCCGTGACCTGTCGGCGAGCCTTCAACACTTTGCGTTGCCTCAAAGTGCTTTATATGAATCTCCTGAAAGTGAACCTGGCGTGGCACAGGCGCCCTGGTGACGTCACTGTCACGAAGTGGCGACTGGCGGGTACTGTATTGGTATTAGAGGAATGGAGGAGGGGGAGTGGTGGTGATCGTGGTGGGGGAGTAGAGTAGTGCTGATGTTGGTGGTGTGGGAGGTAATGGTGGTGAGTGATGGTGATGGGGAGTTGTAGTGCAATTTGTTGTGGTGAGTGATAGTAATAATTAGAATAATATCAACTTGTGACGTTCCGCATGACTTGCGAGGAGGAACCACAGACGGGCAGGTTCGCAGCCACGCGATCAGCCGACGTTACCAACAGTTGCCCAAACTTTTCAGTCCTCGATTGTAAGGTGTTGTCGGCCAATCAGCGAGTGTTTACATGCGAGAGAAAACCAGAGCACCCAAATAAAACTGAGAGGGAAACACTATCTCATCAACATGGAAAAGGTGGAGCACATTTTTGCTGTAATGCCTTCTCATGGCGAGCCAGGGTGTGACTCCGCCCATGGAAAGGGAGCTTCTCAGCATTTGTGCGGTGATCAAGCAACCCTCGCTGCCTCCACGCTGCTGCTGCTGCTTGATTACAGGCCACTTGCATAGCCACCACTTTGCCACTTGGGAGTCAACAGCGGCCAGGCGTGGTTGCTGGCCGCTCGCCCTCTCGTGTGCCGCGCCGGCCTTCGTAGGTGCTCGCTAACAACACTTGCCCCAATCCTGTTCAGGCTATATGGGGGATACTTGTCTTTACTAAATCGAGTAGTAAGTACTCTGCGTTATATGTTACTTTATAATAATTACTAACTACGACGTAAATCTTTGTGTGTTGGAAACGCGACTGCCGGTTGCGCAATGTGCAGCGCCTGCTGTTGCCCCCCCCTCGTCGGATGCAGGTGGTGCGGCCCGAGGTCGCAAGTCCGCGGCGGGGAAGGCCAAGGCCGCCAAGGCGAAGGACCTAGCGGAGACCGCGACACAGACGACCCCGAGCCTGGCTCGCCAGAAGCACAAGAGATAAACCCAGAGAGAGAGAGTGAACGGTCATCCCCCTCACTGTCTGTAGCTGCTTGCAGTTGCACCTTTCTGTGCATGGTGCAGCGCTATGGTTTATCCAGAGAGGCCGCGCGGGGAAGGCACGAGGCACGTGTGTGTGTGAATGTTTGTGTATGTTCATGTTTGAATGTGGCTGTGAGTGTGTGTATTCTTGTGTGTAGGTATGAGAGTGTGTGTTTTCATAAGTGTGTGTTTGTGTATTCGTGTGTGGTGCTCGCTAACACCACTTGTCCTAACAGTCTGTTAAAGCTATACGGGGATCTTTGTATGATTTTGTGTGCACGTGTGTTTGTAGTCATGTCCTTGTTTGTGGGTATGAGTGTGCGTATGTATTAGTGTCTGCAGCAAGTTGGCACAGTAGGGGACACAGCTGGTGCATCTGATAGTCATCTCAGTCAGCCAACCCATGGCACCTGGGTCTGTCCCATGGCCTCGTCTGAGCGAGCCTTCGACACTTAATATGACGTCACCGCCACTTAGTGGCGAATGGCGGTCGTTATTACGGTGTGTTCATATGTTTTTGTGTGTCTTGCTATGAGATTGTGTGTTCGTGTGTGCGCGCCTGTGTGTGTTTTCGTGTGTGTATTTGTGTGCGGGAGTCTGTGTGTGCACGCGTGCTTGTTTGTGTGTATTTGTGTGCCTGTGGGCGCTTGTATGTTTGTGTGCCAGTGTGTGTGTGTGTCGCCGCTCTTGTTTGGAATGTTCTCTTTATTGGAAGTCAACCTGAACCTGATCCCATCTGGTCCCCCGTGTTTCTCTCTGCATCTGTCGACCAGGTTACCCGCACACCCTTCGCAGCTGCTTGGGCCTCCCCCTCTCGGTTTTACAAATCCCTGTTGGACCCCCCCCCCGCACCTTGTGTTTTCACGCGACCTGCCATCACGTTCCTTTTTTGTCAGATCTACCCACCCCCCTCCCCCCTAACCACCCCCGCCCCCCTCGCCGCCACCGTGCGCGTTGGGTCCTGCGAACGTTTAATGCTCAAGGCGTCGTCAGTTTTATTTTGACTTGTTTTTTTTCATACAATAAAAGTTCAAACCGATTTGTGATTAGTTCGGCTTTGTGCAGTGTAACGCGAGTCGTCGTTATTGTTTATTTTAAACTGCCGTGGTTTTGGACTTAGACGCCTTGTCAACTGGCACATCCACGCTGAGCCAGCGTGGGGCCCATCACGGCATGGGTGGTTTTTTTCCCACCGGCTATTTGCCGATGAGAGCCAAAACCAAACCGTGCTACGCTTCCCTCGCGCAACTTCTGAATTTTGCTCAAGCAGGGCCAAGCGGCGGCGCACACAACGCGTTCACTGCGTGTAACGTCGGTACGCCGTGGACGGACACGTTGGGGTGGGGGGGGACCCCCTTGGGGACACGGCGTCACCACACCGTCTGCGTGCGTCTCGGTTCGTTCGCAGCGTCGTGCGTGTGATGTCGGTACCCCCTGGGGGGACACGGCGTCACCGTATCGTCTGTGCGCGTCTCGGTTCGTTCGTTGCGCGCGAGGCCAGCGGCTCGGCTTCTGTAATGGGAAGACGAACGGCGCGGTGCAAAATGAACAGCGTGGGTCTGGCTCGGCACGGCCCCGGCGCGGATCGGGTTGTGCAGTAGAAGAGAGGTTTTATCGGTCGAGTGAGTGCTTTGTGAGTTTGGGGCCAAGCTACCAAAAGAAATGCATTTTTAGGACAAGTCATATCTCGCTCTCTTCGTGACCAGACTAATACATCTCTAGGCACGTCTAAGTAACTTTAATAGCAACAAATGACGTTCAATGAAGTGTGTAGAATGTTGCCTTTGGTAACATGGGTGTGCTTTATAGTTTTATGGTAACTGCCGTTTATCTTTATATTTCACTTGTACTATTTGTCTCGTCATTACAGGAGAAAAGACAATTTTGGTGCTTGCCGCAAGCAGCGTAACGTGTTAAAGGAGGTTATCTAGAAAATGACGACACAGAACTACTTCCGAGGTCCTTCCAGTTGGTTCTTATTCACACGAGGGTGGCTCCCATGCTCTCAGATGCGCTGCCATGTCAGGGTTCGTCTCCGCTGCAGCCACACCTAATTTTATTTTTGTAACGGTGGTTCCCAACCACTGTCAACCCCTACCTACGATTAGTACGGTTGGCTTCGTACGGTGCGAAAGAAGTTCAACATACGTACAAATGTACCCACGCAACATCGTCGCAGGCCACCTTGGACAGACGATTCTTTTCAAAATTAAAACTACTCTTATTCAAGGTGTGGTTCAATGTTGCATAGGAAAGCCATGGACACCATGAACTTGCATTGTTTTGATTGACTATACCGCGACGGGCGGTACGAAATCTCGTGTTTCCTTTCTGCAACATTTCCGCGGACCACTTCTCTACGGCTTTGCGGGTGCACCATAGGTTGTGAACCACTGTCTTGGAGCATTGGAATCGACCGATTCGGAGTGAAAACACATTCGATTTTGCGTGTTTTTTCTTGCGCGTGATCATCGGTGACGGCGCCCGGAACCGTCGGCGCCGCTGTCTTCTTGAGGACGCTCCGTTCATTTCGGGAGCGGCTGAAACCTGGATTAGAACCCAGGCTGTTGGCGGTGATGTCTTGGACGCGGTATTGGGCCACCTGAAGCCACCCAAGCTGCCCGTGGAGAGTCTCGAACAAGACGTCAGCAGCGCGGTGAACCCCGGGGTGCTTTGTACCAAGGGCATGAACGCGTTACTCGCTGCTGCTGCTGGTGTGCCTACGCATCGGGGCACAAACAACGACGACGACGACGAAACCACGTTCTGAATTTGCTGTAGCCCCATTAAAGGACACTATCCATGGCGTTTCAGGCCATGTGCAATTGTGGGGGGGGGAGCATTTCCCGAAACGTCGCCTATTACACAAAGCCACAGTGTCGTTTACGAACGCATTGAGTTTTTTTAATGCAGTAAACTGTACAGGAGGATCCATTAATAGATACCCCACTGATTGATAATGGTCCTCGGTTTTCAACGGCTGATTGGATATTGTGATAGCGTGACAACGTTTTCAATAAGTGCATTGCTATTGGGTGGGGGGAGATGGTGCACGTAGAGCGTTTGAAAATAACATTCAGTTTTCTAACACGTGTGAGGCTTTCGCGACCAATGTTATTCATAATCAACGTTTTTGGGTTTAGATCGCGTTATTTATAAATGTGTCGTAACCCTCCACCACCCGACACGGCCAATCAGTAAAAATGTGTCACGTTGACAAAGACAAATAGTTCACTGCTTTAGCCCACCGGTGTGTTGAAGCCACAACATTTACAATTTGAGTACGACGTTTCGCTGGTAATTGCATCCAGCATCATCGGGCAATTCGCCAGAATTGGAGGGTTACGACACATTTATAAATAACGCGATCTAAACCCAAAAACGTTGATTATGAATTCAGTTTTCTCTCGACTATCTCCCTATTATATTTAGTAGGGGTATATATAAATGGATCACCCTTGCTATATGTTCCACGCACGGATTGTCCGTGCAAACCCCGAGCCGCCAATGAAAACATTGCATTTATTTATTTTACCAGGCGTGGAAACCATTGATGTGAAGACCACTCCTGCAAGCAAGAGTGAGGTCAGAGTTTAGTGCCAACCGATTTGGAGTAAGAGATGTCCATAACGCCGCAGCCAATTCTTTATCGGCCAACCTCGCTCCCCGGGATGTCAACAGACAACGTATTTTACTATCGAATTAAATTATATTAAAACAACACTTGATTATTTACGTGCAATGCAGTCGTGAACACGTCTAAAAAAACTACAACATAAGCAGACCATACCCCGCTATCGATCTGTCTCCACGTAAGAACACTAAAATATGTATTTTGCACAAACCCCTTCAGCCACACGACCTACTCGGAGTGACTTCTTTCGCAGGGTTGCTTTTCATTCACCCTGGACCGGTTTTGAAATTCAGTGGCTCATTGGCAGTGGCGGCTGCTGCTGCTCGTGACCGCATTCGCAGCCGCGGCTCGGCTCTTGTCTCGGCATCGTTTACACTCCAGCTCAGGCCGAGCTTGCTCAGTTGCTTCCAAAGAGGCACGGATGTACGTAAGTTGAACATCTTTGGCACCGTACGCTAATGGGAGGTGCGGGATAAGGACGATTAATTAAACGCAAAAAGCAGTTTTTCAATTTTGATTTAAAAGTGCATAGTGGCTTCCTAATCTCGGAAGGAGCGTTCCAGACGGCCGCAGAAGCGCATCTGAAATCACGCGATGCGGTGACAGTCTTTGTTCAAAAGCCGCTACTGCTGCTGCGAGAATGACTGGACGGAGTTTGCGTGACGCGAGTGAGCGACTTCGCTGTGGCACGGCTCTGGTTCCTGTAAAGTCCCGAGCCTGGCTGGGACCATGCTTGGAGCCGGAATTACGTTAAGCACAGGGGCTTGGGGAAGCGGCTCTTTAGCCGAAGCCAAGCCTGAGCCGGGCTGTGACTAAGAAAACGGTGGCGCCACGATGGCGAGATGTTAACTACTTCGCCTGGTATACAGGAGATCCTGAGTTCGATTGCCCAATCCTGACGCCTGCTGTATATTTGGAGATTGCGTTTTCTCGCCTCGTGGTTGTGTGGATTTTTCGCCGGTTCCTTTTCTCTCCACATTTATAAACATGCGTTTAGAATATTTGGCTGTTGTACATTTTCTCGTGCTAAGCGACTTAGTTGAGCGATCATTTGTGGTAGCCAGGTCGCTTCTGAAAAATAGCTCCGTAGCTCCGTGGGGGTCATACCTGGTAAAATAATAAAAAAATTGTTCATTTTAAGAATGCCGGTATCCAGGCTATTCTCCACTGCAGGCTGCGGGTCCGTGTTTGGAGGGAGTGACTGACTGGGTGCGGAGAGACAGCAGCTGGCGATGCCGTCGTCTGGGTTCGCTTCGGTGTGCATCGTGGACTGGCGCGTGGGTTCACGCGCTGATTGTGCGCCAAGGTAGCGACTGATAGAGTTCTAATAAACACAACACCGATCTACAATTGTCTATGTCCGTCAGTCGTTACACGTTTGCTCAAATTTATTTTGATGGTGAACTAAGACGAAGAGGAACCGTTGGGGAGTTTTTTTGCAAAACGCACAAAGGCCGAGTGATTTTTACATGCGTCTCTTGTGTGTTGTTTGCAACATAAGGCACAGCTGGCTCGGACTACTCTGAAGTATTTCCTGTGTTATGCCCGATTTCTGGGTTATGAAGTGGCTCATTTATTATTTTTAACGCTTCGTAGCCTGACTAAATATTTATTAAGTAACATATACAAAACAACTAAAGTTCTAAATAAAGAGCTATTAACAAATAATTGCGTGCTTTGCTTCTTGTTTTGTTTCTCTTCCGGAATCAAATTATTGCTTTTGGCAGTGATATTGATGTCACCTTGGAGTCGATTTAATTACTTGATCCCAATGTTGAGAGATCACCGTGATTTCATTCCCGACTCGGGCGTCAGTGCGAGTGGAGTTTGCATGTTCTCTCCCCCTGTTCAGCATGGGTTTCTCCATGTTCTCTGGTTATCTTTAATTGTCCATTTGTGAATGTGTGCTATGGAGAAGGGTCATTGCCAGAATCGTCACCAACTTTAATAGTAATATAGGTGTTCGGTGAGGTTCCAATGGTGTAGGTGTTCGGTTAAATTTTGATTTAAAGCTTTCGTGACTGCAGGGATTCATTCATCTTCTTGGTTCTTTCGGTAAAGTCACGTAGAAGGGAAATAATAAAAATAAAACAAAATAAAATTATTCTCACGACGTTTCGGCTTGCGTTGTGGCCGAAACGTCGTGAGAATAATTTTATTATGTTTTATGTTATTATTTTATTACTTCCCTTCTACGTGACTTTACCGAAAGAACCAAGAAGATAGGTGTTCGGTGTTGGCTGGTTTTGTTTTATGAACCGGGAGGGAAGAGACCTTCGGCAAAGTGCCATGTCCGGAGCGGTGGTGAGTGGCGGTGATCGGTGCTGGCTCGTGATTGGTCCTCGCAACACGGAGGGGTGTCGTCGGTTCTCTCTCGTGATTGGTGGATAACAGCGCGAGGCTCCGTGAGAGAGCGTGGGGAGAGAGCGCCAGGAGAGTGCGGGGGGAGCGCGAGTCGAGCCCCAAGGCTCGGGACTCAAGAAGAGGAGGAGGGGGGGGGGCGACCCCCACAGAGTTCGCGGCCTCGCGGCTGCAGAAGCCACCAGGAGGGCATAGCGGCCCCCGCGTCTCTCGCTTCCCCGGGCCAAGCGCAGGTGAGCGTCGCTAGGCCTCAGGCTTCAAGCCTGCGGCCTAGGCCCTGTAGTGGATTTTCATGCGGCGCCCCCTGCAATTGCTGTCGAAATGCCTCCGCTTCGCAGCAGCTCTCGACTCTAGAGGATATTTGGCCTCCTATTCCACGCTCGCCAGACTGCGTTGGAAGAGATGAGAGTACCCGCGACTTACCTCACGACACGCTTAGCTACCCATCGTAGATCGTCACAGTTCTGCTGCTGGACAGAGACCGAGTCGTGGATTCTAGAACGGTTCCTGGCGCCACTGCCGCGCCGGGAGATGGGAACTCGACCCCGTGGGGATTGCAAGTCGCACAGTGCGCTCCGCGTGTACCACCGCCGCAGCTGCTCTTGAGTGATTAATGCTGTGTATGCACTGGGGAATATTGTCGATTTGTCGTATCGGGGAAATATTGTAAAATTAGTTTAGTTTGCCGGGTCTGGATGAATTGTTGACATCGCAGGGTCGCGATAGGCGGGCAGACTTTCATCCAGCAGTAGATTGACCGCGGCTGACGACATTATTTAGTAGTTGGATAATGAAAGGTGATGTTTACAGCGGCGATGGCTGTCGTTGGCGGGGAGCGGTGGCGTAGTGGTTAGCGCACTGGCTCCTAACCCGGTGAGGCCGGAGTTCCACTCAGCCGACACCGGCGATGTTTTTCTGGCGCGTCGTGTAAGCGCCTACGCTGGGGAAGGCTACCCACACCACCCCCTCGTGTGCCGTAGAGGTGCTCGCCAACAGCACTTGCCCCAACAGTCTGTTAAAGACTATGCGGGGGACCTTTGGCTGTTGTTGAGACTGTGTCGACTCTGAGGTGTGGACTGATGAGGGTTGTTGGTGCAGAGAAGGGGGGGAGCGGTGGCGCAGTGGTTAACGCACTGCGCTTTGGAAAGCGGAACGCAATCCACGCGTATGAATGGGGGATCGGGTCCCAGTTTAAACATAGATCTATATATCTGTGCGTCTCACGTTGGCCCTGAATAGTGCCGTGACTAGCACGCTGCACTACGAACCCAACGGCCCGAGTTCTATTCACTCTCGCGGCCACCAGCAACCACTGACGAGTATCTGGGCCTCCCCTAGGTCGACCGGGCTTCAAAAGAGTAACTGGTGCGGTGTGTAAACATTGTCACGAGGGAGACAAAGGCGGCCGGGCGAGGTGCTGGGCACCCCCTCGTGTGTCACAGTGCCGGCCTTCATAGGTGCTCGCTAACAGCACTTTCCCTAACAATCGTCTTACGGTTATACGGGTAATCTTTGTGTGTTAGTCTATGGGTCTCTATTTTAGTCTATGGGTCTCTATTTTAGTCTATTGGTGTCTGTGTTAGTATATGGGTCTCGGTGTTAGTCTATGGGTCTCGGTGTTAGTCTATGAGTCTGGGTGTTAGTCTATGGGTCTGGGTGTTAGTCTGTGGGTCTCTGTGTGAGTCTATGTGTCTCTGTGTGAGTCTACGTGTCTCTGTGTTAGTCTATGGGTCTGGGTGTTAGTCTATGGGTCTGGGGGTTAGTCTATGGGTCTCTGTGTTAGTCTATGGGTCTCTGTGTTAGTCTATGGGTCTCTGTGTAAGTCTATGGGTCTCTGTGATTGTCTACAGGTCTCACAATAACCCGTAGGTCTCGCGCGGAGCAGAGCCACGGCGGTCCATCTCCGGCGGGGCAGCTCCCCCTTTCCTCTGTGCCGCCTCCTCCACGGCCGCGACCATGTGGCACGAGGCGCGCAAGCAGGAGCGCAAGCTGCGGGGCATGATGGTGGACTACAAGAAGCGCGTCGAGCGCCGGCGCGAGTACTACGAGAAGATCGTGAGTGGCGGCGCGGTCGTGAGCGCGCCCCGGTGTTGGGGGCGGGGGGGGGGGTTCACTTCGTCGCTGTGAGGTTTCCCCGTTGAGCTACGGCGACCGGGTCTGAGCGGGGCGCGTCGCGAGGTTAAAAGCCGGCGGGGTTTGGACAGGAATGAATGAGCGAAATGGGCACGAGGGAGGAGTGAACGAGAAAGTGGGACGCACCGGTGGCGAGATGTTAACCACCTCGCCTAGTGTACACGAGTTCGTGGGTTCGATCCCAACTCTGACGATGCCTGTATGTACGGAGTTTGCGTGTTCTTCCAGTGGTCGCGTGAATTTTCCTCTGGGTCCTCTGGTTTTTCTCTCCACATTTTTAATCAACATGCGTTTAGGGTATTTGGCTGCTATAAATTTCCGCATGATAAGCCAATTTGTTGTGCTGTCATTTGTGGCCAGGCCGCTTCTGAAAAAGAGCTACATTGCTCAGTGGGCCTTACCTGGTAACATAAAACAGTTTAGTTTTTTAAACGACGGGAATCGCACCGAGCGTAAGCAGTCGATGCACTGGGAAGAGCACGGTCCAGGTCCAGAATCCCACTTGGCTCTATGTACGGGGACGCGCAGTGGAATTTCTGCAGCGTCCCCAGAGGGCATTCTCATGGGCGGACTCGTGGCGAACGTGGTGCGTTTCATCGCTGAATCTGTCGCGGCTCCCACGATGCATCACACACGGTGACAGAGCTGTAGTGCGGGTTCCCATAATGCATCACACTCTGTGATGTACCTGTAGTGCCGGTTCCCGCAATGCATCACACTCTGTGATGTACCTGTCGTGCCATCTCTCACAGTGCACCTCACCTCTTGGTGGGAGATGCGTTCACGTGTAGGGCAGTAGCGGCACAGTGCTCTCGCCAGAGGGCGCCATCGTGACGTTCCTGAGCGGACTGGTCCAGGACTGGCAGAGCTGAGTGCCGCTTGCGCAGTGTTTGTCAAGCTGTGACGCGACTGGACGGGTGTGGAAAATAGCTTCATAGCTCATCGGGTGCACATGTACAGCGGTGAATGTTCCTGCACCACCTTGATCTTTTTGAAATTCGTATAGCGCTTTTCCCAAGGCACTTTATGGCAATAATAAAATTGTACATAGGATGATAATGATTTGAAATGAAGAATTGGGTTATTGTAAGTGGCGGTATAGTTTTTATGCAGTTGAAACAAGAGGGATTGATAAGGAGGGGTTGGGATAGGCCTGGTCGTAGCTGTGGTGGGGGGGGGGGACGTAAAGCTGGGGGGCTGATAATTGGGCATCATTGCATTGGGAAGCCAAAGGGGGTCGGTGAGAGGCAGGAGCCAGGAGGGGGGATAAGGGGGAGGGGGCACTTGTGAAGCGACTGGACATCTGTGAAAAAAAGCTTCGTAGCTCATCGGATTTCTCCAGGACAAATAAAGATTCAGATTTAGCTGCCCACTGTGTCGCCTCGTAAGCCTCCTGTGACAACCTGTGTGTGCCTGCCGGTCACTCGGCGCCCATTCGCCAGGCAGTGGTCGCAGTGCAGAACGTGGCTGCCTGTAATTCACGCTGTCAAGGCAGCAGCGAGGCTCGGTGGCTCACACACCGATGATGTTGTGGAACTCCCTCCCCTCCCGTGGGCGGCGAGGAGGAGCCATACCCTGGCTTGCCGGCATAAGACATTTTAGCAAAAATGTGGGCTCCCATCTGTATGTATTTATGTATGTTGAACTTCTTTCGCACCGTGCGTAGCCAACCGTGATAATAGTCTATGCGGTAGTGTTTCCACCTCGCATGCGTGGGTATTCTTTGGGTAATCGGTTTCCTCCAACGTGTAAACACTCATGAGTTGACCGACAGAACCTTAATATATAGAGGACCGCAGAGCTTGGGCAATTGTTAGGTCCAGATGATCACTTTGCTGCTGTTTGGTTTCTCCTCGCGCCTCCTGAGTCATCGCGTGACTACGAGAGTGAGCGACCATCTCCGCTCACAGTCATGTTGCGCACAGTGCTGGGTACGGGCCTTGTGTGTAGCTTGGCGTGATCGCTATCGGATTGCCTCGACAGTATCACGGGGTGGCGATAGATGGCGGCGGCTCTCGGATGTGCCTCCATCCAGCAGTGGGTCGATCATGGCCAGGGGTCGTCAACCTGCGCCTCTGGAGCTGCATGCGGTGGCTCTTTAACGACTGCAGTTTGGCTCTTGAAATTTGAAAAAATGGTTCCTCTTGTTATTTTGGTAGCCGACCCATAATCATGGCTGATGATAGTGAATCAACCGTTATGCATTTTTGTTCTGCCGAACTGTCCCTCCCCCCCCCCCCCCCCCCCATGCTCCTTCACGGCACAGAAAAAAGACCCGGCACAGTTCCTGCAGGTGCATGGCCGGTCCTACAGGGTGAACCTGGATCCAGCCGTGGCCGTGGCAGCAGAGAGCCCGGTGAACATGTGAGTTGCTGTACTCACCTCCACTCACTCTCCTACCACACTCACCACCGCATCTCACTCTACTCACTCCCACTCACTCTCCTACCACACTCACCGCCACGTCTCACTCAACTCACTCCCACTCACTCTCCTACCACACTCACCACCGCATCTCACTCTACTCACTCCCACTCACTCTCCTACCACACTCACCACCACGTCTCACTCTACTCACTCCCACTCACTTTCCTACCACACTCACCACCTCATCTCACTCTACTCACCTCCACTCGCTCTACTCACCTCCACTCACTCTCCTACCACACTCACCACCACGTCTCACTCTACTCACTCCCACTCACTCTCCTACCACACTCACCACCTCAGCTCACTCTACTCACCTCCACTCGCTCTACTCACCTCCACTCACTCTCCTACCACACTCACCACCACGTCTCACTTTACTCACTCCCACTCGCTTTCCTACCACACTCACTGTATGCACCCCCACGCACGCTCCTAGCACACTTAGGAGAGATACGGGGGGAGCTAGGGAAGGAGGGAGGGAGCTAGGGAAGGCGGGAGGGAGCTAGGGAGCTGGGGAGGGAGGGAGGGAGCTAGGGAGGGAGTTAGGGAGGGGGGGAGCTAGGGAGGGGGGGAGCTAGGGAGGGGGGGAGCTAGGGAAGGGGGGAGCTGGGGAGGGAGGCAGGGCAGCGTGGAGGGAGGAATGGAGGGAGTGAAGGAGGGAGGGAGGGAGGCAGACAGTCGCCCACGCACGTTGCTGTCGGGTCCCGCGGGGAGCCGCGTGGTGGTTGCGATGTCGCGGTGGCAGCGGCGCTCGGAGCAGACAGATGGGAGGTTCGCTCCAAATGTCACGGCGCTAATTTGATGATAATTCGGCGGTCGCGTGGGGCCTGCGTGTGGGCGGCGGGGCTCCTAGCCATGGCTGTTGACCCCCGCACCACCGTCTGCTCTCAACTTTTCGACGCCACGGCGCGACGACCGCTCCTGCTCCCACCTCCCTCGCCTTGCCAACGCGCGAGCGACCGCGCGCTGCCGAGGAGATGTTATCTCCCCTGCCGGATATGCAGGAGGCCGTGGGTTCCATCCCGACCCTGACGCCTGCTGTGTGTTTGGAGTATGCGGTATCTCTCTTCCCGTGGTCGCGTGGATTTTTCTCAGGTTTTTTCCTCGACATTTGGAACCAATGTGCATTTATAGTATTTGGCTGCTATACATATCCACATGATAAGCCACTGCGTTGAGCTATCATTTGTGATAGCCAGGTAGCTTAGTAGGCCTCTAGTAGGCCTCTGACCTGGTCAAATAAAAAACAGTTTACAGATTTAGTTTAGTGTCCGGGAGGGAGCCCCTGGGTGATGTGCCCTGTCTTGTGTCTCTCCGCAGGATGCCCTGGCAGGGCGACTCAAACAACATGATTGACAGGTTCGACGTGAGAGCTCACCTGGATTTCATCCCCGAGTTCAAGGGCCTGGCTGCCGGTGACAGGTGACCAATGCCCTCCGTTGCTTTACACCCCCCCTGGTCGGTTTGGTTTGCCGGCCGGCTGGACATTACCGTTTGCAAGAGTAGTGAGTGGCTGCATGGAAGGTTGGGTGAGTGAGTGAGTGGGTCATTGAGTGGTTGAGTGAGTGAATGAATGATTGAGTGGCTGGATGGATGGTTGGGTGAGGGAGTGGTTGGGTGAATGAGTGAGTGAATGAGAGTTGGTGGTTCAGTGGATGGTTGGTAGAGTCAGTGAGTGGGTAGGTGAATGAGTGGTTGAGTCAGTGAGTGGTTGAGTGGCTGGATGGATGGTTAGGTAAGCGAGTGAGTGAATGAGTTGGTGGTAGAGTAAATGGTCGGTTGAATGAGTGGGTAGGTGAATAAGTGGTTGAGTGAGTGGTTCTATGGCTGGGTGGATGGTTAGGTGAATGAGTAAACGAGTGAGTGAGTGATAATTGTTTTTTTACCCTTCTATCTGGCAAAAGGCACCTTTTGACGTCATCTGGTCCAACCCATGTGAGACTAGGCTCTAAGCCTAAGGAAAGCTGTCTCGGGTGTGGACCAATCAACTTCAAGGACAGTGCATGCATTATCAGAGTTATGTTTTTTGTTTGCATTATGACTGCAGGTATTGTGGTCTATGCAAACATGACTCCTTGTAAAAAAGGTGTCAGTTTTGTTGCCAGATAGACGGGTAAAAAAACAATTATATTTTTTACTGGCAAATGAGGTTCCATTTGTGTGAGTGAGTGAGTATTTGAGTGGCTGAGATTAACTTAATCTTGTTTAACCAGGTGAGAACCCAAGGGACCAGGAGTGGCCATTGAGCGAGCAGAGGACGTGTGTGCTAACTCCGTATGTGCGCGTGTGTGTGTTCATGTGTGTAGCCATGTGCGCGTGTGTGTTCGTGTGTGTAGCCATGTGTGCATGCACTTGCTTGAGTGTCCTTCTGAGCATTAGATTAGCGGTTAGCGGGCGACGCTACGAACCTGGCGACTAGAGTTCGATTCCCGCTCACAGCCAACACCGGTGACGATTATCTGAACCGGTCATTGGCCTCCCCTAGGTCGACTCAGCCTCAAATAAGTACCTGGTGCGGTGCGTAAAAACATCGCCACTAGATATTTGACTTTGTGTGTGCGTGGTGCTGTGCAGCGTCTGGGAGGATGGGGACGAGCGCCGGTGCAACTACGAGCGCTACCGCTGCCTCGTGCAGAATGAGTTCGCGGGAAGTGAGTGATGGCCATGCACACACACGCGCACGCACGCACACATGCACGCACACACACACATGTGCACGTGTACATGCAAAAAACAACGATCCCCCGAATAGCCTGAACAGACTGTTGGGGCAAGTGCTGTTAGCGAGCACCTATGAAGGCCAGCATGGCACACGAGGGAGTGGGTGGCCAGCACCACGCCCTACCGCCTTTGTTTCCCCATTGCTAATATTTACACACCACATCAGAAACTTTTTTAATGCTGAGTAGACCTAGGAGATGTCCAGGACCGGTTTCGTATTGCAGTGCATTAACCACTGCGCCACTGCTCCCCCACACCAAAGACGAACAAAACACAAACTAATGCGCGTAACAGTGTTTCCTTAAAGCTCATGGGAGTGCACATGTACACGAGTGCGCGTGTGTTTGCCGTGTCTGCTGTCTGTGTGTGCGTGTGTTGCGTTGGTGTCATGCGTGGGTTTGCGCGTCTGCCCCATGTCTCACGCGATTGCGTGTCACGTGTCTCACGCGATTGCGTGTCACGTGTCCCGTGCGTGCGCGTGTCGCATGTCTCGTGCGTCACATGTTAACCCGTAACATACCCCCTAGGTCTGTCCCGTGAACCTCCTGCTAGCGAGCCTGTTACACTTCACACAGCCTAAAGTACACCTAGCCTGGCACGAGCGCCGCGGTGACATCGCCGTGAATGGTTGGCTGCTGCTTCTGCTGTGCCAGCACTTGACCCGAAATTGCGATTTTAAAGGCTACACCTGCGTTGGGGCGTCTGGGAACCTTTGTCTTTGTGTCGCCACGGCAGTCTCGGAGGACCAGTGTCTCTATCAGATCTACATGGACGAGCTGTACGGCACGGCAACCAACCCCCGCATCCTGGAGGAGGAGAAGAAAAAGTACGGCACCCCCCACCACCCCCACCACCCCCCACTTCTGATTAGCGTGGCTGGCTACGTATGGCGCGAAAGAAGTTCCAACGTACAGACATGCAGCCGCCCCCAACCACGACCTCGTTAAACATTAACGGCCGCTGACATCGCCGCCCCGTGTTCCGCCTCGCAGTAGCTTAGTCGCTCGCTGCTGCTGCTGCTCTGCGCGCCGTCCCTGCCCGCCGCTGCCCAGGGCAACAGGAGTGGCTGCTGCGCTGTCGTGGTTGCTCCTGCCTGGTGCTTCCGCCCGCCTAGGGGTCAGGGTTAAGGCTGGCCCGGCACTGTGTCGAGTCTTCTCGTTACCGAGGGCCCAATTGGACTCGCACAGTCCGTGATAACACGTGAGATGCGTACGCAGGACGAACTAAGGCCGAGGCGCTTGGGTAGCATCTAGAAGCATCCAGCAGCACCCCACTGCCTCGTGCGATGCTCCACCGAGGAAGCTGTACGGCCGCTTATTCCTACTCGCGCACTCAATTGCGTTGTATTCAATTTGCATTATAAAACACGTCTTATAGGAGAACAGACTGTATGTTGAATTTTGTTTGTACCGTACGTAGCCAACCGCGTTAATCGGAGGTGCGGGTAACCCACAACAACGACAACAAACACAACCGCTTTTCGCCGCTTGGTTGCAGTGACGTCACCACGGCACATGTGCCAGGCTAGGTGCACTCCTGAGGCCATCCCGCGAAATGGAGAAGGCTCGCTGCCGGCAGGGGGTCACGCTGGACAGACCGAGGTTCCATGGGTTGACCGATTACGATGACTGGGAGATGCACCACCTTTATCTCCCCGCTGGGGAACACGTTGTTGTGAGGGTCGCTCCTCTGTCCTTCCACTTGCTGGAGGGCTGGCAACCACAGAATGGATTTGGCACATCACGTCCAGTATAGCTGGCGCATAGCTCTCGTTGTAGCAGTGGTTACGAGTCGTGGCTATAAACAAAGCCCTTGGTAGGCCTCGTGTGTGCTCGGGCCTGCCGGGTCCAGCCATCGGCTGCCTCCCTCCCTGTGCGTGTGTGCACCTCTGCCTGTGCGTGTGGCAGGGGAGCGGCAGTGCAGCGGTTAGCGCCGTTGCGCTATTAACCCCCGTAACCCGAGTTCGATTTCCGCTCGCGGCTCATGCCAGCGACGGATTGTCTGAACCGGTACTGGGCCTCCCCTAGGTCAACTCGGCCTCGAGAGTACCCGGAGCGATGTGTAAACATCGTAACCGTGGCCGGGCGTGGCTTTGCTGCCCACCCCCCACATTTGCCGCGGCGGCCTTCGTAGGCGCTGCTCACTAACGGCACCGCTCCTACTGAACTATTTTGTATTTCACCAGGTAAGGCTCCTGTGAGCTATTTTGCTCTTTTTCAGAAATGACCTAGCCACAGATCAGCGAAGTGGCTTATCATGTGGACATTATAGCAGCCAAATACTTTTAAACGCATGTTTGTCAATGTGGAGGGAAAAACAGGAGGACCCGGAGAAAAATCCACGTAACCACGGTGGGAGAGAACATGCAGACTCCAAATATACAGGCGTCGGGGTCGGGGTCGAACCCACAATGTAAACATTTCGCCACCTTGGCGCCCCACTCGCCCTCGGCAGTCTGTCGAGGCTACACAGGGGACCTTTGTCTTTTGTGTGCGCTCGTGACAGGCTGGCGGAGAAGCGCGCAACCATCGGCTACACTTACGAGGATTCCTCCCCGGCGGTCGCCCCCGATGACGCCATCCCCTCCTCCTCCTCCACGGCCACCGCCGCCGCCTCGTCCCACGGCAACAACAACAGTGGCGGCAGCAGCAGCCACGGGCCCGGAGCGCGCGGAGCGGAAGAGCACGGGGAGGGAGCCGATCGAGACGGTGGCGGCGACGAGGAGAAGGAGGAGGACGACGACGACGAAGAGGAGGAGGGAGAGGAGGACGAGGAGGGGGCCGGGGACAATGGCGGCGATGGAGACAGCAGCAGCAGCGAGTCCGACGGAACCATCCCCGACATCGGTACGTGTCTTTGTGCGTGCGGTGCGTGCGGTGCATGTGGTGATGTGGTGCGTGCGGTATGTGTGGTGCGTGCGGTGCGTGCGTGTCTTTGTGGGGTGGTGCATGCGGTGTGTGCGTGTCTTTGTCGGTGGTGTGCTTGTGGAGCGTGTCTTTGTGGATGGTGTGCGTGCGGTGCATGTGGTGCGTGCGGTATGTGTGGCGCGTGCGGTGCGTGCGTGTCTTTGTGGGATGGTGCTTGCGGGGGTGTGGCGCGTGTGGTGTGTGCGTGTCTTTGTGGGGTAGTGCGTGTGGTTTGCGTGTCTTTGTGGGGTGGTGCGTGCGGGGTGTGTGGCGCGTGTGGTGTGTGCGTGTCTTAGTGGGGTAGTGCGTGTGGTGTGCGTGTCTTTGTGGGGTGGTGCGTGCGGTATGTGTGGCGCGTGTGGTGTGTGCGTGTCTTTGTGGGGTAGTGCGTGTGGTGTGTGTGTGTGTTTGTGAGTGGTGTGTTTGCGGTGCGTGTGGTGTCTGCATGCCCGTGTGGTGTGTGCGTGTCTTTGTGGGTGGTGTGCGTGCGGTGCATGTGGTGCGTGCGGTATGTGTGGTGCATGCTCTGCGTGCGTGTCTTTGTGGGGTGGTGCGTGCGGGGTGTGCGTGAGCGCGTGCGTTGTCGCTGTCTCGCCCCGTGCGCGTCCCACCCGCTAGACGTGGAGGTGGACATCGATGAGCTGAACTCCGAGCAGATCGCCGAGATGAACAAATGCGCCACCAACTACGGCATGAGCGACGCCGACTACGTCCGGTGAGGCCCCCACACCCCACCAAAGACAAAGATCCCCCTGTAGCCTTAACAGACCATTGGGACAAGTGCCATTAGCGAGTTGCATCTATGAAGGCCGGCACGGCGCATGAGGGGGTGGGTGGCCAGCACCACGCCCGGCCGCCTTGGTCTCCCCATTGAGGATATTTACGCACTGCACCAGGTACTCATTTGAGGCCGAGTCGACCTAGTGGAGGCCCAGGACCGGTTTAGATAATCGAACGCTGGTTGCCAGGTTCTTAACACTGTCACGTTCTGCTCTGTGACGGGTTGATGACACGCACGCAGTGTTAACCCGTCACGTGCCAGGGTGGCGACAGGTTAACTCCCTCGCCTGGTATACAGAAAGTCGTGGGCTCGATCCCGACCCTGGTGCCTGCTGTACATTTGGAGTTTGGGTGTCTCTGTCGCCGTGCTCGCAGGGACTTTTCTCCTGGTCCTCCGGTTGTTCCCTCCACGTTTAGAATCAACATCACGCATTGAGAGTGTTTGGCTGCTGCTGTGAATGTGCACACGGTGGTGAGCCACTTCGTTAAGCTGTCGGTTGTGATAGCCACGTCCCTTCTGAAAAATAACTGTACAGGCAGTCCCCGGGTTACGGAAGGGTTAGGTTCCCGAGAAATATACGCACACTCTGCACTTCCTATGATTCTTTCATTTGATCGAATATATACGCTAACACTATCCTTGATTAAGCTAATGTAACGTATACTGTACTGTCCAATTGTTTATGAATACACGAAGCATAGAAAACAAACAATAACGTAATGCTACAAGAGGAAAATGATTATGCAACGCTACGAAAAATGACATTTACCCGACTCCTCGTGAAGCTCGGTGAAGGCGGCGTTTGTGCTCCAAATCAATGACTTGACGCTTACGAACAGGCCCTGCACTCTTGCAAACATTTATGCATACAGTATTGAAAAACAACTTTTTACATGATTTATGGGAGCATTTCTGTAAAGTCGGATTTCTGTAAGTCGGGTCTTCCTTAACCTGGGGACTGCCTGTATAGCTCAATGGCCCTTACCTGGTAACATTTAAATAGTTGAGTTTAAAATTCGTTTCGACTCGCGAACCCTGCACAGGGAGCGGCGAGCGATCCACCATCAAAACCCTCACTCGTGAGGGTTTTGATCTTCCACGAAGCTAATGATCCCACCCTAAACCGCATCCACGCTGCACAAACCGCACCTTTGATTCCACACCACCGATTGGCACGGTTGGCTACGTACGGTGCGAAACACGTTCAACATGCATACATGGCAGATGTGGATAGCTGATGAACAAATGGAAAATGTAAAACTCTCCAACAGTGCTGCGACTGTGGTCATCCAGAACAGACCGTGCAGCATATAACGACACAATGCCCAGTTCCACAAATACGAAGGACACATCGCAGCGACGGTGATACGCTCCGCGAGATTGTCGTTGGTGCGCTGCGTCGATGTCCGCCGTACGGAAGACCGAAGAAGAGCTCCGCACTGGCACCCACCTCTCGTTAGGCCCGAGCAGCTGGCTTGTCGGAAATCTGTTAGCGCCCCCCCCATAATGCCCCCCCCCCCCCCTCGTTAGTGCCCTCCCGTTAATGCCCCACCCCCACCCCGTCATGATGCTTCACCGCAGGATGCTCCGGAAGGACAAGGATGAAATTGAGGCCATTAAGTACGCGAAGGCCCTCGAAGAGGAGAAGTCTATGTACTCGGTGAGTCGAGAGTGGGGGCAGTCCAGAGGGTGGAGGGTGGGCGCTCTGTGAGTCTGGTCTCGACCAGTCCACCGAGTGGTGAGTGAATGAGAGGCGGGTGAGTGAGGGGTGAGCGAGCGGTGGGTGAGCGAGCGGTGGGTGAGCGAGCGGTGGGTGAGGGAGCGGTGGGTGAGGGAGCGGTGGGTGAGCGAGCGGTGGGTGAGCGAGTGGTCTGTCTGCCAAGTGGACTCGGTGTAAGTGTTGGGACGCTCCGTGCGCGTGCAGGGCAGGAAGTCGCGCCGTCAGCGACGCGAGTTCCGGGAGAAACGGCTGAAGGAGAGGAAGATTAGCCCTCCCAGGTAACCCCTCTCCTCCACGGTCTCGATGCACATCCACTGCCCTCTTTGTTAAGCCGCTGCTGCCCGGCGTCCCACGGGCGGTTCACGTGACGCGCGACCCTCCAATCGCGGACGCCAGACCACGACGATTTGCCGCTGCCGCCACCCCCACACCCCTCCCCACCCCCCAGCCGGGACGCCCGGCAGGCAAACGGCCACGCCGCCAAAGCTGACGCTGCCAGGACCCTCCACGATCGCTCGCCCCCCCACACTACGGCCCCCACCCTTCGACCCTGCTCCCTCTTCGTAGCCCGGTGGCCACATGCCCCACCCCCCCCACTCTCGTTGGTGCCGTTGCACCGCCTGCACCATACTCGATAGCTCCGCCATTGTCCCTCGGCGCTGCGACCCCTTTGGACATTCTCCCACGATTCTACTGAACCCCGCTATGGCGACGTGGGCGGTCGTGGCGGCTTTAAGGGGGGCCCGGGAACCACCCCCCCCCCCCCACTAGGTGGAAACCCCTCGTTTAGACGGGGTTTGGGGGGTTGGCGGCAGATCCCCCGTGCCTCCGGTCGTGACGCGTCCACCTTTTTGTTCTGTGTTGCAGCTACGCGAGGAGGGACAGCCCGACCTACGACCCCTACAAAAGGTACCGGCGTGCACATCTACTCGTTACGGCCGTTAGGCACCCAAGCGCTGTCCAGCCTCAACGCTGCTGGGCTCCCGTGGCTTGGTCGTGGGCGCAGGGAAGTCGGAAGCCAAACAGGAACGGCAATTGCTGGGCTTGTAATGATTCGCCTAAATAAAGAAAAAACTAGATATGTGTATATATTGATAATAGGTGACGATTCGGGCAATGGCCCTTTTTCATTGCACATCTTCACGAATGGAAAATTAAAGGCAAGCCACAGTCGTGCGACTGTGGCCATGCAACCCAAACTATGGACCGTCTCGTAAACCCAGAGACACGTGGAGACACACCGGAGACCCACAGAGATAGAGACACAGAGAAACGTAGAGATACATTAAAGACAAGCGACAGTTGTGTTACTGTGGCCATACAACCTAAACTATGGACCGTAAACCCATTGTGGTCTGCGCTCCTTCAACGGAGGAGGAACAGCACAACCAAAGCAACTCGCTCCCGAAGCCTCTCATTGCTGTCAGGCCTCGACATTGGCATGGAACTCCTGAGCGCGTTGCGTGATACGCGGGGATAGAATAGCACGCACCCAGCAAACATGCTGATGTTGACCCAACTCGTACACACGGCTATACAAAACTATAATGTGCAAGTATTTTTAGTTTCTAAGAGACCCGGCCACAACTGATAGCTCAACACAGTGGCTTATCATCATGTGGGAATTTATAGTCGCAGCCAAATACTATAAACGCCTCCACACTTTTTCGCCGGTGATTTGCTGAATTTAAGAGAGCGGGGTGGTGGCTGTGGAAAAACTCACTAACCCACGGGGCAGATCATTGTCCACCCCGTCAAGCACTGCGCCGGCCTTCATAGGTGCTACTCGCTAACGGCACTTACACCAACAACTCTGTTAAAGGCTACACGGTGGATGTTTGTATTTGTGTGTCTCCGTGTGACCACGGCGTGTCTTTGCGTGTCTTTTCGTGTCTCCGCGTGTCTCCGCGCGCCGCCGCAGGTCGCGCTCGCGCAGCAGCTCGAGCTCGCGCTCGTGCTGCGCGTCGCGCGACCGTCTCGGCCAGATCACCTTCATCACCAGCTTCGGGGGAAGCGACGACGAGGGGGCCGGCGGGGCGGCCGCGGCCTCCGGCGCCGCGGCGGGGGGCGCCGTCGCCGGGAAGGGCGGCGCCGCCTCCTCCTCCGCCGCCGCGGCGACTTCATCGGCAACCGCCAGGGCCGGAGATCGAACCCACGCCGGGGGGACGCAGAGACGCGCCGGGGGAGGGTCGGCGGCGGGGGGGGCCGCCGCGGCGTCGCGCTCCGGCAAGGCCAACGCCCCGGCGCTAAGTGATAGCGCCGCGTCCCGGTCGGTAATTTTCAAACTTTCTCACTTCTCGGCCCTGTGCGTGTCGGCGTGCCTGTGTGTCGTTGGGACCGAGTGTGATTGTGTCGGTGGCACTGTGTGTGTGTGCGAGGCTGTGTGTTTCAGTGCGACTGTTTATGGCGGCCTTCATTGGTGCTTGTTAACAGCGCATGCCCCAATAGCCTCCTGATGAACCTTTGTTTTATGTTTATGAGCGGTAGTGCAGTGGGTAACGCACGACGCTACGAACCTGGCAACGCGAGTTCGATTCCCGCTCTCGAGCAATAAGAGGAGTGACGATTATCTGAATCGGCCCTGTGCGGCTGGGCGTAGTGCTGGCCACACACCCCCCTGTGCGCCATGTCGGCCTTCATAGGTTCTCGCTAACAGCACTTGCCCCAACATTCTGTTAAGGCTATATGGGGGATCTTTGTGTGGTGTCTTCCTGTGTGCGTGTCAGTTTATGCATCTATATGAATGTGTGTGTGCATTGTGTGTAATGTGACCTCAAAATGCACCTAGTCTGGTGCGATTCCGGTGGTGATGTCGCCATGACCAAGTGGAGTCTGTGTTCTGTCCCCCTGTTTTGCGTGGGGTCTCTCCCGGATTCTCTGGTTTCCTTCTCCCATAGCTAAATAATAACCGCACACAGCCGCTATCAGCCAAACATTGCTGCAAAAATTACCTACAAATCACCACACGCAGCAGCAACATCTGCGGAGACAACCTGGCAGGACCCTCGTTGAATCTTGGGTCTTGAGACTCAATGAGGCTTTCCTGGCTAACAAGCTTAAAAATAATAATAATATTAATTTATCTTCCTAGAATTTTCTGGATTGGGCTGTCATGTGATTATTTAAAATTGGTGGTGTTTCCTGTGCATGCCGTCCAATCACAGTAGAGCTTCACGGTAATGGTGTTACCTGTCCGTCCCGTCCAATCACAGTGGAGCTTCACTGTGACAGTGTTAGCCGTCCAATCACAGTCGTCGAGCTGCACGGTGACGGTGCAACGCGCCGGCACACGTTTCCCGGCACCGGCTCGGCCACTGGCGACGGCACACAGGAAGCGCTAATTGACGCGCGTTAGCGAGCCAGGCGCAAATGGCCGAACCCGGCAGCTCACACCTGCCAGCATAAACTGGCGGGGGACGGAGGTTGGGGGGGGGGGCAGGGGTGGGGGGCGATGGGGTGCGGGGAAGCGGGGGGGGGGGGGACAGGGCCGCTCGCCGTTGGGTTTAGCGGCTCGTTAAAACAATTAAGCGTTGGCGGACACCGCGGTCCCTCGTGGTGCGCCGGCCTCGTTAAGGAGGAGCGAGGCTCCGTGAAGAGGGCGGCCGTTGGTGGGTCTCCGGCTCTCGCGGCCGCTCGCTTGCGCGCTGCCGCCTGTCGTCGTCGGGGTTGTCTCGGTGCTCGTTTCACCCAGGAAAGTCTCGCCCAGTGGCAGGACCCTCCTATGACTCTGTCATAGGAGGGTCCTGCCACTTTTTCTCAACAGAGAGGCGACGTTGCTCCGTATTTTCTCCCAGCTGAGCAATTTGCGGTGCGATTTGATTCTTGATTAAAATTTGGCAACGTTTGGACCGTGACGCGGGGAAACGCCACACAGCCGGGGTCCCAACTCTTCGGCCGTCGTGACGACGCCAAATTCACACGTCCACGCTGCGTAGATTTCTCCCGAGGTCCCCTGGTGTTTCCCTCCACATTTAGAATCAACATGCGTTTAGTGTATTTGACTGCTGCCATGAATTCCTAAATATGATGATCCACTTTGTTGAGCTATCATTTGTGGCCAGGTCGCTTTTGAAAAAGAGCTACATATCTCGGTGGGCTTTATCTTGTGAAATAAAATTGTTTAGATTTTCTGAAAAGCAGTAGCGGCTTCGTTTGACTTGTGAGACAGAGGAGGCACAGGTGGTGCACAGCCGTGCCAAGACGCAGGGAATTCTTCTTGCACATTGTGGAAGGCACGTTTTGCAACGACGGTGCGGGTGTCAGAGGAGCTGACTACGTGTGTGTGGAGGCGTTAGAATGCAGCTCACTGGGTGATGGTGCAGTTGGGTAAACAACGACATAGAGACACGGAGACACACAGATACGGAGACACACGGACACGGAGACACACACACAGACATGGAGATACACAGATACGGAGACGTACGGACACGGAGGCACACGGACACGGAGACACGCACACACAGACAAGGAGACACAGACAGAGACACACAGATTCACGCCACTGTGGGTCCTGCAATTCTCGTTGCTCGACCGGACGTATTCAAACGACTTTCGTGCGCTCATTGGTTGCCACCCCCCGTAATCGTCCCCCCATCTCCACACCCCCCCCCCTCTCGACTACTCCCCCCCCCCCCCCCCCCCCCCCCCCCCCCCGCAGGAGACGGCGCTCGCGCTCCTCGTCGAGCCGGAGGTCGCGCTCGCGCTCACGCTCGAGCCGTCACTGGCGCCGCCCGGCACCGCGGCGCCACCGCTCCCCCCCCACTCGTCGTCACACGAGCGGCGCAACCGCTCCCCTACTCCTCGCGGTGACGAACCCAGAATCTCCCCCTTGTGTCCCCCCCCCCCACCCTGCCGCACAATGAACATCGCTCCTGCCGCCCCTCTCCTGCTGCGTGCTCGGACGTAGCTCTGCGACGTCCGCTTTCGCAAGCCGCTCACCCTCTAACCCGCTCGGTCCCATCGATCACGCCGATTGGTTGCCGCCCTCGGTAATCATCTCCCCATCTCCGCACCCGCCCCCCCTCTCTCCCAGCCCCCCTCCACCGTTTGCGTGTGTCGTGACCCCCCTCCCCCACGAAGTACCGCCCCCTCCTACTGCGTGCTCGCGGGTAACGCCGTGAGGTCCGCTTCTGCGGGCCGCTTCGTCTCGCGTGCTTTGTGCCGTCGAGCGGGGAAGTGACCGGCGCTCCCCCCTGCCCCCCGCACCAGGTCGCGCGCCCTGCGGCGCTCTCGCTCTCGCTCCTCCGAACGGTTCCCTCGGCAGGGCCGCCGGGCCCACAGCCGCACCCGGAGCCGGACCCGGAGCCGGACTCGCAGCCGCAGCCGGAGTCGGAGCCGGAGCCGGACTCGCAGCCGCAGCCGGAGTCGGACTCCTCGGACTCGCAGCCGGAGCCGGACTCGCAGCCGGAGCCGGAGCCGATCACGAAGCCGGAACCGGAATCGGGGAAGGGGCCAGATGAGCGGCGGCCGTGGCCGGGGAAGCGGGCGCAGTCGGTCCCCGCGCAGTCGCTCCCCCTGCTCCCCCGCCCGGCCCCCGCGCGCCACGGCGCTCAAGCTCAGGGCCCCCCCCCCGGCCTCGGCGGTGGGGGGGGTGGCAGCGGCCGCCGCCGCCGCTGCTGCTGCCGGAATCTCCACCGTGGCGGCGGCATCCTCCTCCTCGTCGGGCTTCTCCGGGAACCCCCCGGGCGGCACGGCTGAGGCCGTCGGGCCCAGACTTAAAAAGTAAGAGCGCCCCGCTGCGCGCTTGCGAGAGCGTGTGTGTTTAACACGTGTGTGTGTGTGTGGGGAGCGGTTGTGGAGAGAGTGGAGAGGGTTTAGGACCATGGCAGTCTGCTTATGACCAGCTACGGTTTCACAGCAGAGGCTGTACTTGAGCAATTTACATCTGTTACAGATACAATGGGAGGCTGGTTGGTGCCTGGGTGCGGTCGAGGGGATATCTCCCTATTGGTCAACCATGTTACGTGTGCTGATGATCTGGTGATTGCTGCCCACCAAAATTTAACACTTGCCTGGGTATTTTGTGCCATCAAACGCTCCACCTCCTCAACTCCCCATTGGTGATGAAGCAGTTCTGGAGAAAGTGGAGAGTTTAGCATGCCTGCGCAGTCTGCTTATGACCAGCTCCAGTTTGGCAGCAGAGGGCTCATTCCACATCAGCCGAGCAGCATCTTTTCAGCAGCTGCGTCACGCTGCTTTGTGGAAGCTACCTGGCTTGTCGCTTCACACAAATCTTTGGGTCTTCTTGGCCACAGTCATGCTTGTGAAATGTGGACCCCCCAAATAGAACAACTTCGCAGTCATAAACATTCAGGCTGGCCTGCCTACGATTTATCCTGGTTTCAACCAGGTTGGATTATATTTCGATTTAAAGCTTTCGTGACTGCAGGGATTCATCTTCTTGTTTCTTTCGGTAAAGTCACGTAGAAGGGAAGTAATAAAATAATAAAAATAAAACATAATAAAACAATTCTCACGACGTTTCGGCTACAACGCAAGCAGCCGTCTTCAGGTGAAGAATGAGACACTACCAAACTAGGAGCTTATATATAAGCTGCATTGGGGGTTGAAGAGCGCCTTAACAAAAAGAATGTGCATGTGAAGAGGGATTTAGCATATTCATGGAAAATGCGTAGGCGTTGGGCCTGGGTGCGGTCGAGGGGATCACCAGATCATCAGCACACGGCTGCTTGCGTTGTAGCCGAAACGTCGTGAGAATTGTTTTATTATGTTTTATTTTTATTATTTTATTACTTCCCTTCTACGTGACTTTACCGAAAGAAACAAGAAGAGGTTGGATTATGTGAGAAGTTCACAAATCCTTGAAAGATCTGGGCACAGTCCCATCGATGAGCTACTCCGGCAGCAAGGCTGCGTTAGCTGGGTCATGTAGCCCGCATGCCCAGCCACCGCATGCCCAAGCAGCTTTTGCTTGACCGGATAGAGGGGGCTAAATGGGCCCTGACACGGACTGGAATGATGTGGTCCGAGAGGATATGGAGGTGAGTGGACTTGGCAATGACTGGTGTCAAGATCGGCCTCTATGGAGGCAGCTCGTGAAAGGTGCTACTGGGAAGTTGGAGGCAGACGCCTCACAGCAAAACGGGAGGGCAAAGAAGCAACACTCACAACAACGAGTGGAGCACCGGGCAGCTAAAACACAACAAGTTGGCACCGTCGGGGGCACAGGTGGTGCATCTGCCGTCATCTCATTCAACCCATGGCACCAGGGTCTGTCCCGTGACCTGCCAAGTGCACCTGGCCTGGCACAGGCCCCGTGGTGACATCACCGTCACTTAGTGGCGAACGGTGGGTATCGATATTGGTGGGGAGCGGTTATCACGCTGCGCTACGAACCCATCGACCCGAGTTCGGTTCCCGCTCGTGGCCACCAACACCGGTGAAGATGATCTGAACCGGTAGTGGGCTTCCCTAAGGTCGGCTTGGCCTCCGTGCGTGTGTGCGTGCGTGTGTGTGCGTGGGTCTGTCCAGTGACCTGTTGATTGCAGAGTGCTCCTCGCTCATTGGGTTTTTGTGTTTTGCAGGCCGGACACACCGACTGGTAGAGAAACTGGAGCTGCCAAAGTCAGTAAGAATTTAGCTTTGTCTTTGTTTCAGCTGCCAGTCATGCAGACACCGTGTCTGTCTGTGCTCGTGTGTGTGTGTGCGTGTGCACGTGTGTGTGATTTAGTTTGTGTACGCGTGTGTGTGTACATGTGCGTGTATGTATCTTTGTGTGTGTGTGCATGTGTGTCTTTGTGCTTGTATGCATATGTGTGTATGTATGTGTGGGGAGTGGTGGCGCAGCAGTTAAGGCACTGCGCTACAAATCCGGCGACCCAAGTTCGAATATCGCTCACGGCCACCAACACCGGTGACGATTATCTGAATCGGTCCTGGGCCTCCACTAGATCTACTCGGCCTCAAACGAGTAACCTGTATACAGCATGTAAAACATCACCACCGGGGAGAGAAAGTCGGCCGAGGCGTGGTGCTGGCCACCCTCCCGCTCGTGCGCCGCGCCGGCCTTCATCGGCGCTGCTCCTCGCTCGCGGCACTTGCTCCCGACAGCCTGTGAAGGCTATCCGGGAGGGAGGGGGGGTGGAATCTTTGTCATTGTGTGTGCGTGCATTTGCACGTGTGACACGGTTGTCCAAAACTTGAGACCGTGTGCCAGTCGAAGTGAATCCTTTACTGGTGCAAACATCGTGGGTGATGCCGAATGCGCCGGCATCGCCGGTTCCCCCTCCCCCCCCCTCTCTCGGCCAGAGCGCACGTCACCTCGTCTGTGGCGTGCGGAAACAAAAATGCAAACGCACCGCCGCCACGCTTTGCCGACAATGACACTTGCCGGTTACTCCGTTGGAACCGCGCCCACACCGTTTAGTTGGCGCGGTTGGCTACGTATGGTTGCGAAATAAGTTCAACATACATACGTGCGTACTCGGCTGTGATCAGCGCCCCCCCCCCACTGAAAGATATACGCGAGACTCGGTGAGGCTTGAGTGGCTAAACAAGCATAATTATTACTAATGTATTAACGGGTCAGATTGGTGCGTCTGGTCAGAGTGTTCAAGCCGAGGGGTCAGGGGCCAGGGTTTGTTGGGGACAGGTGACCCAATCATCACGTTCATCATTTTCATCGTCGGCAACAACAGCAGTAGCAGCAGGAGTTCTCCTTATCGAATTATCATCGTTGTCATCAGCTGTAGAAACATTAGCAACAGTGTCATTAGCTGCTGCAACAGCAGTATCATTATCAGCGCAGCAGCATCATCACGAATGCTATTTTCCTGTAGACCGCAGAGTAAACCCACTATGGTCTGCGCTACTTCAACGCAGGAGGAGGAGGAACAGCGAAACGACACGAACTCTCTCTCGCTCTGCTGAAGCCCTCTCGTCGTTGCGAGCAGCAGCAGCAGCACCTCACATTGGCGTCAATCTCCTGGACACATCGTGTTGGGTTGCACGGCCACAGTCGCGCACCACTGTGGCCGTCTTCCGTTTTCTATTCGTGACGGAGATGTGGTGCAGCGTCGTCGGCCTGCTGATGATGATGTTCTGATGTGGCCGACGGTTACACCGCCGGTGTCTTGGAGGAAGATGCGGAATGTCAAAGCCAGGAGGAGGTGTACGATGATGACGTTTGGGTCTTGAAGGAGGAGGTGTTTATTATTCTGGAGGTCCACGCTGTTCCCACGCGATGCACCAGCAGCGCGGCGGCGTTCTTCCGCATCGTTGTGCTCGGAGTGACCCGAGTAATTAAGCTTAATTGCCCAATAAAAATAAAAAGATCCCGTGGGAAGGAAACGCACGAAGTTACGAACATCGTCCTCATCATCGTCGTCATCGTCGTTGTCACGCACCAACAACAATTCCTTGAATATGTCAGCCCACTCTCGGGACACAACGTGGCAAATTCGAGGTCTCCGTCTTAGCTTGCGATTATTTAAAGACCCCTGAGTTAATCAAGTTGTGGGATGCTAACAGAAGCATGGGGGGTTTGGGTGGAGGAGGGGTGGGGTGACGTTGAGGCAACGCGTGTCTGGCGTAGCTAATCGCCGCTGGAGCTTGGGTGGCACGCCGAGTGTTGGCGGTGCGCGCGTGGCGCGTTAATGATGGCGGTGAGAGTCGTCGCTCACCGCGCCCCACGCCGCGCCGTTCCGTTGCAGGCCAAGATGACGCCGCGGGAGAGGCTCAAGATCAAGATGCAGAAGGCTCTCAACAAGCAATGTGAGTCGCCACCCGCTCGCCGCGTCCGCCCCTAGACGCCGGGCACACTGACCACCCGCTTGCTGTACTGCCCACCCCCTCCCCCCACCCCCCCCTGGAAAGACGCCGGTTCGATCTCTCAGCGGCGGCAGTTGGAACGGTGAAGCTCGTTTCTCAAATGTCGCGACCGCCCACCACCCCTTGTTCCTCCCCCAGCGGCGCCCTTGAGGTGTACACCACCGTTAGGCTGTGATGGGCGGCTCGTGTACGGTGGGGTAAAGTGTGGGTTCTCTTCTCGCCCCTGCGACCCGAGAGGTCCCGGCCAGCCAGCGTCATAAAGAGCAGACCAAACACGACAACTGGAAGGGCTCTCCAGAGCGCCCTCTAGCGGAGGTCGTGCCGTCGGCTGTGGCCACGAGTGAGAACTTGCAGGGGCTACGCATTCATCCGATGCCTTGAGCGCGCACGCACGGTGCGTGTACGTGCACGCACGGTGCGTGTACGTGCACGCACGGTGCGTGTACGCACGCACGGTGCGTGTACGTGCACGCACGGTGCGTGTACGCGCACGCACGGTGCGTGTACGCACGCACGGTGCGTTCACGCGCAATAACCCCGAAGCCCACTCGAGGCTCGGCGCCGCCCGCTGCTGTCTCACCGCATCACGAACGCCGGGAGCCACGTCGGTCACGCCGCTCGCGCCGACCGCAATCCCGGCAGCGTTAGGCGAGAGAGCGAGCGAGCGAGATGATGATGGCGGGCGTTTCGCGAGATTTAAATAACCGTTTGGGGCTGCTGCACCCTCTTTAGCTAGCCAGGCCCTCGGGCGGCGCGTTATTTTTTTAGCGTCCGCTCTCTCCCCTCCGCGGCCGGATCGCTACCCTAACGAGCCGCGGGTCCGTCGGCGGCGGGGTTTGTCCCGAATTAAGTGTGACGAGCGTGGCGGCCGTGAGCCCGGACCGGGAGGCTGCGTGCCTAAGCCGACCTGACACTTTGAAATGCGCAGCGCCATCTTTTATGGATCGGCCGGGCCGCCACTCGGGGCCAGCGCGCGCGGACCGCCCCACCGCCGCCGCCGCCGCTTTAGCGCTAATTAGAAGTGGCTGCGCGTGCGCTGCGGAGCATGAATTATTTAGGCTAATTGCTGCGTCCTCTCCACCCCGAGAAACACTCGCACACTCGCGCTCACGAGCTCGCAAAATAGAAGGGGGAGTGGGGGGCCGGCACCCCCCCACCCACCAACCCCCACCCGATGTTCAATTGATAATTGTGAAAACTTTGCGGTCGTGTCGAGTGCTAATGGCGATTAACCTGATCGCTCGCCGCTCATCGCACGAGCCACCACCTGTGGCTCGTGCTACCACCACCACCCCCCCACCACCACCACCACCACCGCCGCCACCCCCGCCACTTGCACCGTCGCCGCCGTGCGGTGGGTTTCTTGATCGCGGCATCATCGGGCCTTAGGTCTCACCCGGGTCGGTCCGCGTCACCACCAACCCGGCACACCGCCTTGGGTATCACCCTCTCCAAGCTGCGGCATCTCGTCACGTAGCCACCATTTTCCAGCAGCTAGCCGGTGACCCGGTGACGCGTTCGTCGTGACCAACGCAGCAGCTCTGGGCATCGTGTCCGGCCACCCTGGCTCCCCCTACCCCCCTCACTGCCCCCTGCCCTCTCCCACCGTCACCGCGGCCGTTCCTTTGCTTTGCGCTGGACGGTAGCCGGACCGGGCACCCACAATAACAACTGGCGTTCGCCCCTAAGTAACGGTGATGTCACCACGGTGCTTGTGTCAGTCTCAGATTCCTTACCCGTACCCGTACCCGGCCGCACCAGGGTCGCAAACGGGTACCCGCACCCGATACCCGGCCGGGTACCCGTACCCGATATCCGGCCGGGTACCCGTACCCGACATCCGGCCGGGTACCGTACCAGTACCCGATACCCGGCCGGGTACGGGTAGCCGGGTATCGGGTAGGGTACGGGTATCGGGTACCCGATTGCGACCTCTGGGATGAAGCCATGTTGCAGGCGCGGGTGGGTTGATTCTAGAAACTTTAATTGTCAGAAGAGACAAGACGTTGGGAAATGAGTGACAAACGGTGACTCACCAGTGACTCACGGCCTACCCGTACCCGTACCCGGCCGCACCAGGGTCGCAAACGGGTACCCGTACCCGTACCCGACCAGGTACGGGTAGCCGGGTATCGGGTAGGGTACGGGTATCGGGTACCCGATTGCGACCTCTGGTCTCGGTACACTTGGAGGCGTGTGAATGCTCGGTCGCAGACCGCACACATTCACACACACACCACGCGCACACACCATGCACACACTGCGTACACACACCGCGCGCACGCACCGCGCGCACACACCGCGTGCACACACCGCATACACGCACCATGCGTGCAGCGCCGTGGTCCTACCCTAACCGGTTAACGGTGGTGATTGCGCCGCGACTTTCAACACTGTGTGGCGCCGCGTTGTCACGCGCCCCGGAACGCGCTGCTCACAGCCTCCGTGCCAATTTGCAGTTCTGGCGCTCCCGAAAAAAAATCCACAGCGTTCATTGAATGTTACATTCACCTTGTTTTTAATTTAATTTGTTCGTGGGTGGGTGCGGGGGTGGTTTACCCCCACCACCATTCGCCCCCATCCCAAAAATAAATTCAAATTAATAATTATTTTCTTGATTGGATAAAAAAAAACTACATTCGCGAGTAAAACCCTGCGCCGAAATGTGAGCGCTGGAGGGCCGTGCGCGCGTTTGCGTGTGTCACGGGCTGGCGGCCTCGCTCGCTCGCTCGCCCCCCACCCACCCCACACGCACCCCCACCCCCCCTTCCTACCCACCCACCCACCTCGTTAATGTGTTGTCAACATCGCGTGTTTTATTAGCGCGCGACGTCAACTCGCGGGGAGAGTTTCCGGTCCCAAGCCGGCCGCGGTTGGCCCACGCCATCGCCACATGCCGCCCGATGTTTCCCCGTGGTTCTGTCCCGTCGGTAGCTGTCGTGGTGGTGGTGGCGTAGACCATCATCATCACGGCGAACTCCGCCCATCACCCTCACAGCAGTGGCTCTTGGCCGGCCATCGGAATAAAGACGGCGGTCACCGCATCGCGTGGCACTTTCAGATGCGCTTCTGCGGCCGTCTGGAACGCTCTTCCTTCTGATAGTAGGAAGGCACTGGAGCTATGCACTTGTAAATCACCATCATCAGATTCTAGATTGACAAACTCATGTTTTTAGAACTACTATTTGTGTTTAGTTTATTTCCCTTCCCCGGTCCGGCTACGTTCGGTGCGAAAGAAGGTCAACATACACATACATACACATACATACACATACATACACGTTCATACACGTGCATACACGTACATACACGTAAATACGTCGCAGTCCTGCATAGGAGATTCGGCCCTTGGTGCCACCTGGAGGGTCTCTCTTCTCTAAGAGCCGCTCCGAGCAGACACCCTGGCACCAGCGGCGGTGGCGTGAGCAGGCAACTGCAGGGCTGTTAACGTGCGGGCTCACGGAGGCAAACAAGATAGTCAAATGACACTGGTTGGGGGAGGGGGGGGACGATTAGAAACGACGTAGATGAGGTGGTTTAAGATGTACCCACTGAGGTATGAACTTATTTTTCAGAAGCGACCTGGCCACAAATGATAGCTCAAAAAAGTGGCTTATCACATGGAAATTTATAGCAGTCAAAATACTCCAAATGATCGGTGGTCAGACCCCTGCTGCTGTGGCGTCACCTTCCTGAAACCCGTCGTTGAGACTGCCTGGTGCTTGTCACTCCGCTGTTCAATGTCACCGTGAGAAACAGCGCTCCTGGATTCTGACCGTGAATGTGGAACTTTCACCAACACCCTCCCCCCATCTCTTGACCACAGATAAAGCCGATAAGAAGGCCGCACATCACAAACAGGCACAGCAAGCCCAGGAGAGAGAGGTGAGCGGGCGTGGGGGTGAGTGAGTGAGTGAGTGTGGGGCTGTCTGTTTGGGTGAGTGAGTGAGTGTGTGGGTGAGCAGGTATAGAGCTGTGAGGATGTAGAGGTTGGTGGGTGTGGTGCGACCACCCTTCCCCATCGTGCACCGTGTCGGCCTTCCTAGGCTACTCGCAAACAGCACTTGCCCTGACGCAGCCTGTTAAAGGCTACACGGGGTGTCTTTGTCCACACACGCGTGTGCGAGCGAGCATATTTGCGGTGCATGCGTTCGCTGGGCTTGACTTGTTTTCACCGTGCGCTCTTTAAACAGTGCGAGTATTTTGCCCAAACTGTTGCCGAGATTGCCATTCGGGGTAATGGTGCCGCAAGTTTCGCCAGCGCCACGCAAATGCGCGGCACTTTTTATTATTATTAAATAAATAAATCCAGCGGTTGGCTACAATTATTTACACTTCTCCAAAATGTAATTAGGATTACACCCCATTAAAATTTTATACAGAATGCAATTACAATAGCATTCACTTTTATGTAAAGATGCGCATGTCTGCTGTGCGTGTCCGTCGCGTGCGCGTGTCTGTGTGTCGGGGAGCGGTGGCGCAGCGGTTAGCGCTCCGCTCTACGAACCCGGCTTCGAGCCGAGTTCGATTCCCCGCTCAAAACCAGCAGTGACGATTATCCGAATCGGTTCTGGGCCTCACCTTGGTCGACTCAACCTCAAAATGAGCACCCAGTGCAGTGTGTAAACATCGCCACTGGGGAGACAAAGGGGGCGGGGGGGGTGGGGGGCACCTTCTGGGTGCGTCGTCGCGAGCCGCTGGACGACGTGATGATGCTCTCGGTGCTGCTGCTGCTGCTCCTGCTGCTGCTGCTGTGGTTGTTGTGGCCCCTAGGAGCCGCGAGCATGAGCTGAGGGCGCTGGCTCGACGAATGCGACAAAAGTAAGAGGCGTCGTAGTCGGCACCCCCACCACCGCCCCACCTCCCCCGTGATTATTGGCAAGACACCGTGACGTTACCGTGAACACTGTCGCGACGTAGCGAGTGACTGCTGCGTCGTGCTCAGCCCACGGGCGATTGGTCCCCAGAGCGCCCGGCGCAAGTTACCGTTGACGGCGATTTGCTTTTTTATTTTGGTGACCCAGGCTCTCGTAAATGAGCCTCTTATCCTGGTCTCCTGAGTTCCACCTCACCTCGTTAACTTAACGACGTTGTTCAGTGATGCTGCTGCGGCATTGGCAGTGGTGCACAAACAACAACAACTCGACCTCTGACCCGTGCGCCGTGTGACCCGGGATACAGGGAGAGGGAGAAGGACCGCGATGAGTGGGACGACGATCGGCACGACTACCGGGAGCGCCGCAGCCGCTCGGGCAGCCCCAAGCACGGTGAGGAGCACCCGCAACGCTCGCCCAGTGGCGCCCGGGGTCCCCGAGTCTCCCCGTCATGCCGAGCCTCTCCCTGCATCGCCCTGCCTCGCCCTGCCTCTCCCTGCCTCTGTCTGCCTCTGTCTGCCTCTGTCTGCCTCTGTCTGCCTCTGTCTGCCTCTGTCTGCCTCTGTCTGCCTCTCTCTGCCTCTGTCTGCCTCTGTCTGCCTCTGTCTGCCTCTGTCTGCCTCTCCCTGCCTCGCCCTGCCTCGCCCTGCCTCGCCCTGCCTCTGTCTGCCTCTGTCTGCCTCTGTCTGCCTCTCCCTGCCTCGCCCTGCCTCTCCCTGCCTCTGTCTGCCTCTGTCTGCCTCTGTCTGCCTCTGTCTGCCTCTGTCTGCCTCTGTCTGCCTCTGTCTGCCTCTGTCTGCCTCTGTCTGCCTCTCCCTGCCTCGCCCTGCCTTTGTCTGCCTCTGTCTGCCTCTGTCTGCCTCTGTCTGCCTCTGTCTGCCTCTGTCTGCCTCTGTCTGCCTCTGTCTGCCTCTGTCTGCCTCTGTCTGCCTCTTTCTGCCTCTGTCTGCCTCGCCCTGCCTCGCCCTGCCTCTGTCTCTTACTCTGCAGTTTTGCGGGGAGAACGCCCATCTCTTGAGTTTCCTCCCACGTCTCGTCCCGCGTCTCGTCCCGCGTCGTCTCCCGTGTCTCATCCCGTGTCTCCTCCCGTGTCTCCTCCTGCCCACAGGTCGAGACTACGGCTCCTCCTCCTACAAGTCCAGGTACACCTCACTCGCCACTCTCTCTCTCACTCGCCACTCTCTCACTCACTCGCCACTCTCTCACTCGCCACTCTCTCACTCACTCGCCACTCTCTCACTCACTCGCTCACTTCTCGACATGCTCATGAACTTACTCATCAACTCACTCAGTCACTTGCTCATTCACTCTCCCACTCAATAACGTTTTCACTCACTCACCCTCTCACCTTCTCACTCACCCACACACCCCCACCCACTTGTCTACTCAACTTCTCACGCACTCATCCACCCATTCATATACTCATTCAATCTCTCACTCACCCACCCGCTCACTCGCTCACTTTTGTCTGTCTTTCTCATTCTGTCTCTCTCTGTCATTCTAGTCGTTCTCACTTTGTCTCCATGTGCGTCTCTCTCGCATAACACGACTGTTTTGCATACCATTCTGCAGCACTCATACCACCACCACTGTCACCACCTACACCACAATCATCACCACCGCCACTCACATCACCATCCACACTACCGCCACCACTACTGCCACCACTACCACCGCCACCACTACCGCCACCGACACCACTACCACCACCGACACCACTATCATCACCACTACCACCACCACCACCGCCACCACCACCACTATCGCCACCACCACTACCACCGACACCACTACTGCCACCGCCACCACTACCGCCATCGACACCACTATCATCACCACTACCACCACCGCCACC